TGCGTCACAGTGACACTGCATAAAACACTTTGGCCATCTTAATCTCAATTCACTGTTGGTGCTAAGGGAGTTCCTTACATTAATTGCGGTTTTTTGCGCTAATTCCTTCAAAGGTGATTTCTGTGGCGTAAACGAAGGCAGGAAAAAGAATTCCATCATAGGAGATTTTCGAGGAGGCATCAGGAAAAGAGTTGATAACGCAAATACACATAGACAACCTAGATTCTGGACAGCATGATGCCATGCAGACGTGCAAGCATGATATTAATGACTCGCTGCCAGATGGAGGTTTGCGTCCATTTCGCTCCTCTAATAGTCGGGTCGCGAGTAATAACCAGAATAGAAAAAGTGGGAACGTCATTTCAGCCATTTCTTGACCGTGGTCTCTCGGTTAAAGATGCATAAACAAGTTCATCAAAGCACGTCGAGGCAGTCGGATCGGCTTACTTAGGCAAATTAGTGTTAAGATGTCATTTTCCTTGGTGATTCTCGCGAGGCGCAAGAAAAGTGGGAATAGATCACTGCGTCTAGAATGAGCTCAGCCGTCTTCGTTCGCTCAAAAATCCCATTAGTAAGATCTTAATTACGCTCTACCAATAGTTGACTGTGCTATAGACTGAAGCCGAATCCGTTCGTCCTTGTTTTATTCTAGAATCCGGTGTTGGGAAGAATCGCCTGACCCTATTCGATTTCCCCATCGACCAATTTCGAATATTAACAATCATACCATCTACAAAGTCGACATGCAATAGCAGGGATCCCATTAGTAGGCCTAGTTTGACAGACTTGTCCTTTGATGAGTGCAGATATCGATGATCGGATTGTTTTGTGTCGTGGTCCTGCTCGGCCACCCGTTGGCAGCAACGACGGACATCACGGTCGGAGGCTACACCTCGACGACGCTGCCACCAGAGACGCAGGCGAGCTTCATCATCTTGATCGAACCAGCGGTGAACCAACAGCTCGAGGACGAATCCAACCTGTTTAAGGTCGTGGAGGTCCTCCAGACGTGGTCTCAGGTCGTGGCCGGGATCAACTTCAAACTCGAGGTTCAGATGGCCGAGACGGACTGCCAGAAGAGCTCGGTCGGGTCAGTCGCGGGCTGCAATGTGGAGTCGGGTGGAGAGACGTTCATCTGCGTCGTCGTCGTCTTCGAACCGTTGGAGCAGAACGTTAACCAAGTCACTGGCGTTAGCTGCTCCTGAAGAAGTTGAGAAACTCCTTGTCAAACTTCAAGTATAGTCACGATTCTCTCAGCCGACAATTTTACAAATGTCGTCTTTCAATGAGGTGACGGCCATTCTGGGTTTCATCCACACGTTTGCCGGATTTCTCCCTCGCCTCATCACCCTGAGCGAAACACGTACTTATATAATTATTATACAGTTAAATGATTCACTTATAAATTATAGGTCGCATGAAGGTGAGAATGATCTCATATTAATTGTCACGATCTGTAGGCATGCACAAGAAATATAGTAATTCTAAAGTTAAGTTACAAGTTATTTTTTTATTTTTCCCGATGCTGCCCAATCGGCAACGCACGCGTTGCCATGGCTCGCCGTCTGTACGGCAGCTGCGGTGCTTCTATGGCTCTTGGGTTGTCAGACCGCGTGTGGCACAGGAAACTGTTGTACTCTTGGTCTGTACGTGGCCGACATGGATGTCTCACGCACGTACGCAAAATGCGAACGAATGCGAGAGGAAACATTTGCGGATGCTTTCATGAATACGGTACAGTATTATGATACTTGTACAGTATGCAATAAATAGCACGTTTTAGAGGTAGATTAACTCCTGTATTATCCTACGCCTCCTGCCCATCCTTGGGTAGATAAGAAAGGAATTAATTGTTTTCATGCTAAGAAGTATGGGTTGTAGGCTAGGGTTGCATGCAGTGGCATGCGAAAGACACAGGTGAAAAGAGATACATACTGTGAAATTGAGTCGAACCACAGGTAAAAGAACGGTAAATTGTAATGGAGCGGTAATGGAACGGCAGAGGTAAAATTGGGACTGAGAAACATGAGGGGAAATTCTCGCCATTTTCTACCTCAAGTAAAATAATTTTTGGTCAGAACATTCACCGACGTCGCCATTGCTTTCTTCGGATGGCAAGTTGCAAATTTTGCAAATTCCCCCTCTCCTATCCTCCTTTACGATAGGAAAATTCGTCGCGATTTTCCCTGACGTCTCCGGAGCCATCAGACGGATCTCAATTCATAAAACGTAACCGCGCATTGTCAAAGGGTTCCAAGCGGAAAACTCTGAAACGCGAGGGCGAAGGAAACTCTGACGGCACTCCATTCCGTTTCGAAGCGCAAATTTTTTTCACCGCTACATTCCTCATTTCTTGGAATGTCTCATTATTTTTATTTATTTATTTATTCCACGATTTTCATCGTTATTTCGGGTTTTTAACCCCCCGGTAGAGCCGAGGTGTTCACCCTTAACCTAAATATCTTCCCTCCCAATCGAGTTCCTTTCGCGAAACTTACACATTGCACGCACGAGCGCGTTTCCGATTGGAACCCCAAATTTCACCCAAATACGCCGCAACTCCACGGAGGGTGTCGATTGTCTGCCAAGTCACTGTGAAATATGGATGAAACTGTAAAAAAAAAAAGGCAAATTATACTGAATTTAACCGAACATAGAAACATAATTAATCCTTAATGTTGGTGCTGGAAAATCTGGGGAGGTGTCGAGCGAGGGCTTTATCTCACGCACTGCGCGAAATGTCCTCGGTATGGCCGATTGCAGTTAGGCCGGGAAGTGCCGCGATACGGTCCAGTCCCTGGGAATGTGGGCAGTGGAAGGAGAAAAAGGGGAAATGAGATACGAGTCGTTTAGGGTCTCGCCGGCCTTTGTCGGCAGATTAGCTTCTACCCAAAAAGACGTTCATTTCGATCTCCTCGTGACATTGAGGCGTTCCGCTTCCGGCGGTCACATTTTAATCACAAAATTGTTGGGATTTCTGGCTCGAGCGGTTTTTCCATATTTTGGAAAATTAGTTTTTTTTTATAAATAATATTAGTTTCCATATTTCCATATTAGTTTGCAACTGCAAACTTCGCTCCCAAGAGGAAAAGTGGCCTTTGGGGTTAAAGCGGTATCTTTGGTCCCAGTCGAGCTAGGAAAGCGATTTTGGACTCTGATTAAAGCTGATGCAATGTATTTGGGTTGATGCATAATTATTGCACGTTTTTTTTGGCGCTACCATTTTAACGCCAAGTTGGCGTTTTGTCTGAATCTTGTTTTATAATTTTATCCTCCATTATTTGCAGGTTAAAAATGCGTGTTGATAACCATATTCACTTGCGTCATATTATGCTGTACCACTTCGAGAAAGGATGGACCGCAGCACAGTCGTGTCGTTTTCTCGACGAAGTTTTTGGCGAGGGAACAATTTCTGATAGTGTTGTTCGAAGATGGTTTAGTCGCTTCAAATCTGGTGATACGAGCTTGGAGGACAAGCCAGGAAGAGGTCGGCCATCGGATTTTGACGACCAAGCCCTTTTGGCGGCTGTAGAATAAGATGAAAGCTTGACCACCAGGATGCTGGCCGAGCAGTTAAATGTCGACCAATCCACCATCGTCCGTCGCCTTAAAAAGCTCGGCAAGGTGTGGAAATTGGCCGGATGGGTCCCTCACGAGCTCTCCGACAATAACAAAGCTGAAAGAGTGCGAATTTTCGGTGAATTGCTACAGAGAAATGAGCAAACCCCTTTCCTGAACAACCTCGTCACAGGGGACGAATCTTGGCTGCTCTTCAAAAACTTGTTTTGAGTGTATTTTCATGTTTTGTTCTTTAATAAATATTGACTTTAAAAAACGTGCAATAATTATGCATCAACCCAATAGTTCTGACGTGATATATAAGTTAATATACATCTCCCAGTCCCAAATTATGCAATACAGCTACACGGTACTTACATGTTGATGTGACAATCTAAGTAACAAGGAATTTGTCAAAATTTCTAACTTCAGTTTTCCATTCTCCACATTCTAGCTGCACAGCACAGCAACTATTTATCAATGGAACATTTGGCTCAGCGAAGTTAAACATTTTGAAGTCGTGGGTAAATAAAACTGAATAAAATTGTGAGAGCAGAGATTACAGTTAGCTATTTTCCAAAAATCGTTGCCAACTTTTGACTCGATTGGCCACTTTTGGGAGTCTGTACAATTGTTCATCATGAGCAAAATATTATCCCTTCTCACAGATTAATGGTATAATTACACTATTTTTGCCATCTGCACCATGATGTACAAGCATTTCACAGCCTATCTCAGATTGAGTTGTACAGGAAACCTAGGTGTTACAAAGTGTTCATGTCTTCATTCAGAACCTCACTTCTTCCTTCAGATGAATCATTATTACTATTACTCATTGGGTACTAAAATGAGGAGCAGATTTTATTCAACATATACTGGACTGATGAGTTGGGAAATGAAGCCAAGCAAGTGATTGAATTTGCTGGGTCAGTCTAAGTATTGCCCAACAGATTTAATCAAGCATGTGTGTCTTTGTGCATACTGAAGAATGTGGCTGAAGTGTTACAGAAGTGTATGAGTCAAAACAGTAGAGGTCTCTGCATTGAGATTTTCTTTTATGAAATTCTGTAGGGAACATACCAGCTTATGAACATCTGTGAGATCTTGTTTTAAAAATGGAGATTTAAGGAGAGTTTCATTGTTTTCTTTTTGCTATATCCTGTACATGCTTTTAAAGATCAGTGAAAATCTCAGGCAGTATAATGGACCCCACTTTTAGTTGAAGGGTTACATTTGGACTACTGAACCAACAGTGCTGTTAAAAGGTGTTCAGAAGAATCTGAAATGAAGCCAAGGAACTCAGGGGAACTGAACTATCCATCTTTGAGTTATGTGGCCAATACTCATAATAGTTGAACTCCAAGGTTGTCTCTGTTGGTTGCACCATGCCTCCTACATTCCTAATTATTCACTCCAGAGAAGGGATCTCACTTTATGAAACCTTGGGAAAAAAAAAGCCTTTAATGCAATCACTCCATATGTCACAGGCAAAATGTGAAAAGGAGGCTCACAAAACACTATCAATCATAGTCTCTACGTTCTTCTTCTCGTTTCTTTTTATCCTCAGAGCCCTTCACACTGAAGAATGTGGTCTTGTCAGCCGGGGTGATACTGCTCTGTATGGCAAAGGATACTAGATCCCTTCTCATTGCATAGGCATCCTCTCCATCTGCATAGTATTTTGGTTCAATTTCTGATATCCTGGAAGAAAATAAACATTTTTAAATTGAAAATGTCCACTAATGTTATGTTCCTTAGGAGTGCATATCAAGGTGACTTTGTGCTGATCTTACGAGAAATTCAGGGTATTTGTGTAGAGGTTTAAGGCCGCCCTGTTGCTCTTGCGGACATGTAGAGAGACATACTTGGCATTGAAACATTCCACCATTGCACGTGCAGTCTGATCCATCAGTTTTTGTGCCAAACCAAGGCGCCTAGAAATGAAGAGCATGAAATCAAATAGGCTCACATTTTTATGTTACATAAGAAAGATACTAAGTTGCAACAAATATCTCCAGTTGACAAATTTACAAGTTACCTGTGAGAACTCCATACCTGTGAGAACGCTTGACAGCCAGGGAAGTAATGTGACCATGGGGATCAGAATCATCACTATCTTCCTCCATCTTGGCAAGGACATAACTGAAATCATGGGAAAATCCAGGTTGGCATGTCTCATGCTATCAATATATGGCCTGGACCATCTTGATTTTAGCAAGAGAAGCTTTATACAAATCTTTGCTGCTATAAAAAAAAAGTATAAATAAGCTAGCACCACATGTTGGTCTGGTGTCTGCTTTTTAAAAATTTTATTTCACTCACTTTGATTTCTCATGATAGAATACAGGACAATTTTATGCTAAAAAAAAATAACATGACATCTCCATATGCAGTAAAGCACAGCCTCTTCCACTCACCCTACAATTGTTCCTTTCTCATCTTCTGCCACATAGCTCAACTGTGGCCAAGATAATCCATGATAGAAGTAATACTTCATCTGATAATTCTCAGGTAGACAGAGGAGGTTGCAGTGCTGCATGTTCATCAGATCCTCTGGCTGCAATAAGAAATATTCCCACATACTATGCATCCACATCTAGAGAGATGAGTTTTTTTCAAAGAATTTATTTGAACTAACTACATGTGCAAACACAGAGAGTTAAGAAACTGTGGCCATATCAGCCCATTCAGCATAGTGTGCAATTCTAAGCAACTCTACTTCAAAGCAATGGACTAGGAAATTGAGATTGAAAAGGACCCTGTAAGCATACCTTTGCACATCTGATGTTCATCTTGTGATCTGGTGTGATGAGATCCCACTCACATGTAATCAAAACTATGCAATATCAAGTTAACCCTCTGTTTGCACAGTAGGGATGCACAAAAATCCCTAATCAATGACAATATATTGATATATTCAATTTATACTTTCTCTCTTGAGCAGACCTGGAACTCTTCTTTCTGCAATTAAAAAGTGCAAAAAATGCAGGAAAATATCAAAATAAAGCTAATTTCAACATGTGAAAGACCAAGGACATATTCTATGCGGTCAAGTAACTTCTCACTCGACAAGTTATAAGGAATTAATGAATAAGGCTTCTCTCTTCATTCATACAACTCTTCATGTAAAATTTTGCCTCTAAGCATTGGTTGTCATATTCTTAGTCTCACAGCAATAACTAAAATTTACCTTTCACTGAAATGAGTGATATTTTTGCTTCCATTCAGGATATGTGCACAGGTTGAAGGTATACAAGGTGAATTCAGTAGCTGATGGGCTTATACAAAGAACATTGAACAAACTTTGGTTTAGTATCGGTTTTGTTCAGTGAATTGCTATTGACTTGACTAGAGTCACCTATGATTTATTGCAAAGCGATTTGGTCTTATTCTTGTCCCAATATGTATGGCTTTAAGGTCAGAACATGTGTGAGGTGTTTTTAATGGCAGTTAATTCTGCGATTAACACGGAGGTGTTAATCGCAAGATTCTCACTTTTGGAAGAACATTGAAAATATCCGAAGGTAAAATCAGAATAAAATTGTTTTTGCATGTAAACTACGTTTACATGAGATCCAAATTGGGGGGACTTGCTTCCTCTGCACAGCCTGTATCTAGCTCTTGGCTAAGATAGGCCTATAATATCCTATGGTGTGTTTTTCCGGCGTTGGAGTTGTCAGTTGTGTGCGGAGCCATGAGCTATACAGATGCCAATTATTTATTTTTAGTCACGAGATGACAAACACCATTTCCGATCTATATCGAATAATGCCTGCTATACATCCAATAGTTAAGGATATTAAACCATGGGAATAATAATAATTCTATCGATGACTAAGAATACTTAGAACAGCTAATTATTTTATAATCTAAAAAACTTTCGTTTGCACACCCGTGTTCCAAATCTCTGAGAATTTGCATGTGTTTGAACTTCATGGGATGAGCTAAACCAGGCGCAACTGTGCCGCCACCGCCTTCAAGCTCATTTTGGAGCTCAGTTTTTGCGCTTGACTTATGATAAACAGTGAAAGAGGATTGATTTCGTGCATCTTTGGATCTGCCAAAACGTTGGATCAGTTCGTCGATCCATAAGCCAATATAACTCTAGCTAATCAACGAGGCGAACGCAAATCCAAAACAAGGATTGCCGCTGGGTGCTCCTTTCACTGTTCTCGTGAATTTCCACTGCTTGCAGCCATTCCGCACACAACCTGTCACGTAGGAATCGACCCCAAACAGCAGGATAACTGCAAAGCATGCCAGTGAGACACAGGCACAAGAGCACAAGCTCCTCTTAGTTAATCGTTCTGGCTGAAGAGTGTTTTGTTCGGGTATCACCTTTCGCTAGGTTTGCAACATCTTGGCTAGGCCTAGGTCACAGACGACAGTATCAACTCACTCTTCCCCTGAACATTTGGGAGGAATTTATGGAGGTGGGTCAACTCACTGACATTTGTGTTCCTATGTATTTAACCTGTGCACCTGAGAGTTTGGGACTCCCTAAACTGCATGATGTGCATGCTTATGTAAGAAAAGGCATAATGTCTCTTACTAGATCTTCACTCCCATTCAGACAATGCTGCTGACTTCCAGTGAAAAAATTTTTGTTTACTTTGGGTGATGGGTAATTGTTTGGTGAAGCATTATACAAGGTGCCTTCTGAGTTTGGTACTGCATTCTAAAGGGCAAAAAATCAGCTTGCTTGTACCACCTGAAGGTGTAGTAATATAGAAATGAGTATACAAGACCTTTCCCTTTGATCACTCTTTGCAGAGGTTGGATTTTACTTTTTTTTATGATTTCCCAAAGTACTAACATTGGCATTTATGGGATTTACAATTTCTTGAGGCTTTTCTTCTCCCAGGCTTTCATAAATGTTTGAAAACTTTTTTTTTTTGCTTATTTCACACCTGATTTATCACCTCCCAGAGCTAACATAGGTTATCCATACTTTACAATAGAATAATACAATTTTATTGGTGCTGTTCTTCACTCTTAACAACAAATTGCTTACTTATTGAAGTATGGCTAAAACTAAGAAAAGGTTAGTTGAATGGAATTGAATTGATCAATTTCCATTCATTTGAGCAAAGAAGCCTGTCTAGACCTATGTTTATGCCTAATGTGGTTAGTAATTGTGGAACTCTTGCTGTAATAGAGCCATGATTAATTCTTGAAGCATGTTTCACAACATGGGTCCCATTGCTATACTCAGGTTTGTTAAGTAAGCAGTTGGACATGCATGCGTGTGAGGAGCTGATTTCCTTGTGATGTGGTCCATCTGTGTTAAGAGCATAAATTTACTTGAAGCAGCAGTTACTTTCCCATAAAAACAGTGAAAGAAGTAGGCTGACGAATTGTGGTAAAGTCAAGTCTCCAATCAAAAGGTAGCTGCTGACATCAGTTTGTCCTTACAAGGTCATGGCCCTTGAAGAACTTGATGGGACATCCAGACAGCAACGTCAAGTACAAAGACGAAGACAGCAGCTTCTCACCGTGAATCGAGAGAGAAAGACTCTCATGCAGCAGGTGAGAATTTTGGGGCAGTATTCCTATGCCTATTATATACAAGTTTATCTAACTTAAAAGTTTGGAAACAGTGATTTTCTGATTGCTTTCGTACATTTTTTACATGCCTTCATATACTTGAGTTTCCTACTGGTAGACAGAAAAGCTAATGCAGACTATCTTGCAACAATTTAAGATTTAAGGGAGTGGGTCAGGCAATAATAAGCATTTTAGTTGTTCTGGGGAGTTGCTTAGATTTGATTGGCACATTGGTGCTTGATTCCCCTGGGAACCACTTGGTTACTTTTGGAGTAATTCTGCAGGCTAGGACTATTAGGGATGTTTACTCATTTCCTAGGTCAACCCTGTAACTCTGCCTTTATTGAAGGTCTGTGATAATAGAAGTTGTGAGCTGGTAATGCTGGATTTCAGCCCTTCAAGGGCAGAGGTAAGGATCAAGCCTGCAAATCCCCCCCCCCTTGAGTCTCTTTCCTTATGCAGTATTGATAGCAAACATCTTCAACTGCAGATTCTTTTTGGCATTCAGAATTAAGGGGCCAAACTTTCTTTATCAGAGGAATCTTCTTCAAAACTTGATGTTCATGCTGTGAAAATGATTTTTCATTTGGAGAAGGATATTCTTTAAAGTGGACATGGCATGAGTGAAAAAGAACTACCAGCACTCTGTGACCTACACATATTGATATCTTGGCTTTGACATGTCCTGTTATTGAAACTTTCTTGTATGATCAACAGAAAAATGAGCTAAATATATCTTATTTTGCATTCCAGATCAAAAGAATACTGGAACAGGATGAAGCATGCAGGACCCCTGAGGAAAATGACATTCTTGCATACTGTCCAGATGTTGTGGAAGAGCTAGTCAAAAGGTTTGTGAGCTTGCCATATTATGAGAACATTTGCTATTGACCATTCCTGTGACAGAATATTGATTTAAGGACTGTCAAGTCAAACACCAAAGTTTGGCTTCACAGTCCTTAAAGTATTGGAAAAGTTACAAAGTTTCCCAGTATTCTCTTGGAGACCTAAGAGAGGTTTTGATAGTTGCCTTTCTAACTTTTTCTTCTGTACCTAAGGTAGAGGGTGCCAGTTTATTTTAAAATTTATTATCTACATCCAGTATTGTGTGTGCTTGAAGCTTTTCTAGATTTGACATCTCACATTCTGCTAGGTTTAAATCAGTACTTAAAATGCAGCAATGTTTCATAGTTGAAGTATTGAAAGTTGCAATGAACAAGCATTCTGCATGATGTTCCTTACCAGGTACATCTCTTTGATATGCTCCATAACAGCTGTCTGCTGGCAGTCTCATTGATTATATTTGTTTTTGATAGATTCATTCATCATGTGTTATGAGTGCATTGCATTTTTTATATGAAAGGTTGCTAATTTCTATAACCTGGTGCTTTCCCCATTTACTGAATTTCTTGCTCATGAATTGAATAATCATGATTCTGGACATTGACAAAAACTGCTAGAATGGATAGTTAGGCATGTTTCCTGCAGAAAAGCATGAAGGTCAACTATTGAAATAGTAAACCAGAACATAAGCAACCATAACACATGATGAGAGACATCAAAGTTAACTCCTTCACTGAGACTGCCTACCATCTGTGCTGTCAAGAGCTAGTCAAAGTGTGGAGCACCTACTGTGTCACTGTGGCTCGGTGGATAGGGTATTATGGTTGGCATGCATGAGGTCCAGGTTCGAATTGAACTGGGGGCAGGGGGTATTCTCATGGGGTCAACAATTCACCTGGCTGCTTTCAAGTACTACATGCTCTCCCTTGTGCTGAAGCATAAGTCACTCTGTGTTCCATTGTGTGAGAGGTAGGGGTTTAGTGTGTCTTAATACCATAAGCCTGGTGGCAGCTTGAAGTTGCCACCAACTTCTCCAGGCTTGTGGAAATGGGATATGTTATGACAGGAAGCATGGGATGGTATGGCAATGCTGTAAGGGCTGTCCAATAAGTATTCCCTTTCCTCTATTACATGTTCAGAAACATGGGCATATGTCCTTGTCTGTGTATTTTTGTCCCAGTCCATGTTTGAGTAGGGAAAAAATAAGTATGGAGCACCTTATGAGGAGTTGTGCATAGATTACAAGTACATTGTGATTTCCAGTTCCTTAAATTTTAAAACTATTGCATTTCAAGCTGTGTGGAATTTTTTTTAACCTGGCAGAAAATTTTCACATTCATCTGAAGACATTATTAATATAAAAACTTTAGGGTTACATTAAACCAAATTGAGTCATAAAAAAACATGCTCCCTTTTTCTTCTTAAAAATTTATACAGCTTTACCTTTGCCAATGTGTGTTCATCCATATCCCAATTTTCACCATAAAAATTTAAATAGCTTTTTTTGTATGTGCCAAAATTGGAATCAGAAACACAGGCATGACAGCATGTGTCGACCTTTTCTTTTCGGAGGGGAGGCTTGGGTTCCTGGAGTTATAATGGCTGTGATGCTGATTTGGGGCATGCCAGCAGGACCAGCCCTAGCTATTTTGGCACCATGTGCAAAGAAACTCCCAACGTCGCCCGCCCCCCCTCCTCCTTCGTATTTGACCCTGATGCATTAGGAGGGGGAGGAGGAGGGGCGGGCCCGGGCCGGAAGGGAGAAGGGTCAAGGGTCAAGGGTCAAATGTCAAATGTCAAATGTCAAATGTCAAATGTCAAATGTCAAATGTCAAATCCTAACGTTCAAAAAGACGCCCGAAGGAAGGCAATTCCAGTTTCTGAAGTTTAACTGAGGGTGGAATCCATTATTGCTCATTCATTCTGGCGCCCCTGGTGAATTTGCGCCCTATGCAGGGGCACATGCCTAAAGCGGGCCCTGAATGCCAGATGAGGGGAGGGGGCGGGACAATGGGGACCACAAGAACAAGGAATACTGTTTGAGCCCTGCATGCTCATCAACAATCGCCGCTTATGTGGAAGTAGTAGCAGTGGAGTGCAGGAAGCAGCCAGGGTTTCGCCTAAGGGATTGGGGTTGACAGATGCATTTGGACCCATGCTTCCATAGTGTACCTGAAAAAATGGGTCAGGTACTGCCGAAGCAGTGTGCCATGACCAACGTGCGTTGGTCGGTTGGACCGAGGTCCAATTCCGTCCTTATCAAGGGGAGTGCTAACCGTCTCTCCTTTCATACAACACAATTTAACATTTATTGTTCAGCGCCTTTAAGAGTGAGATGGAGTGGTGACGACAGCTGATTTGTTTGCTTGGGAATTACGGCTTGGATAGTCATAATGTATATTCCTAAAGTGGGAGATCGTCACGTTAAATGGAATGCATGAAATGCGGTTCATCCTGGCCTCTGGAGTCAGTCTGCATCTTTCCTCATAAGTACAGAGGCTACGAGGGTGTGTAGCTTTATTCTACTGGGCTTTCGTTACATCTATCCGAGGGAGGAGAAAGTCAAAGCTTGATGATGCGTCAGGTAGAGTGCGCTGTGCGAGCTCGCTAGAAGCCTGCGCGTTCGTGATCCCGCGGTCTTGGATTCATCCGATGATCCGCTCAGATCGGATCTGACTCCCAAGAACGTGGTCGGTTCTCTGAACACTTTTTTTTTTGTTAAGTCTTTGTCCCAGATTATGGTTTCTTAGAAAAATAATATTTTTCTTGTATGTTTCTACATTTATTTTACTGGATTCGCTACATCGTTCGTTTACAGCAGCATCCGTATTGTTAAATCCTCGTTGAACGTAAAATGATTGACAAATTGAGAATATTGAGCCCCAGAGCTCGTCGATTCTTATCATGAAGCTCTTATTGCTAATTTTTTCTGTATGAACCGGTTTAGAATCGAACTCGGGGTAGCCTTTGGGTCTCTACTGTCTTCTCGGAGTCGGTCTATGTATACTAGAAAAAGCCCTATAGCACACCTCTAATTTCCTTCTCGTGCCAAGTCCTCACATTGCCTATCACGCTTTCTTGAAGCTAGCTAACCCCTTCCACTGAACCATATCGCACTAGGTTTACATGGTGTAATGTCTAGGCCTCTGCTGTGTGACCACGAATACAGCGTTTGTCGTTAGTGCTGTATAGTCTTATCCTGTTAGCATGATTGTAGGCTATGGCAATGACTTCGTTGGCACTGCATAGTCTTCCGGCCTCTTCATAGTACAGGACAATAGGTGTACAGTTTATAATTTAATACTTAGGGTTATTGAAGCCAGCTGGCGTAGGTTTTAGCCTATGTATAATGATATGCAAATAAAGTTGCATTGCCTGCCATGTAGTGCATGTGGTGCATGTGAAGATGAGAGGTTATCTCCATTGAAGTAAGTGACATATAGTATTCATGACCCATGATAAAGGCGGCACAAAATAATTTGTGAATATCTATTAATTTGGGACATGGCAACTGGAAGCTGAGCCCAAAACTGAGAGAACTGATCAGTTTTGCTTTGACTCCAAGCCAATTGAGGTATATGAAGATCCTTCATGTTTACAAGAACATGACATGATTTCTTGGGAGCCTGGGTGGCCTTTGAGCAATCAAATCACATTTGAATCTTCATCATGTTGCAATATTGCATAACCTCTCTTTAAGGGTGAAGATAATAAAAATAAAATGGCATTCATGGCTCCTGCATAGATGTTTCACCTAAACCCATACTAATTTTGTATTAAAGGTGAAATATGGTGCATTTTACCAGTTGTCTAAAGCTTAGTGATTAAGGGAGAGTAAGGCTTTCTCAAGGTTGTGAAGTATAATGTGTGCTATAGGATTGATTGAGGTATCACTTTGAGGTGTACCTCATTTTACTTATTGATATCAGCATATAAAGGAAACACTAGTAGTTCCCTTTTGCTTATATACTTGTAACTTATACCATCTTCTCTACAAGACCCTAGAGAGACTTCAGTTCCATGTGTGGTTTAAATTGTTGGGTTCATGTTTGCACTTCTCCTAAAGTTGGGGTCAGTGTTGACACAGTATATGATGAAATCCATCTAGGTAAAATGAGAGATTTCAGACCATCCAAAATTCTAATAGTGTTTGTCATGAGGATTGAAAGTATGTCCTGGTTGTGAAAATAAATGGGAAAGCCAGCAGCAAACTTGTATTTTTTCTCCACCTTGCTGACAGACATATACAGGGGTCTGTCGTTTTGTGGATTCCTTTCACAATTGGCCCTGTAGGTTTCCAATGCTCTTGGATAAGAACTTGCTCAGCAAAGAAAGACCCAATGTTTGATGAGGTAATTTCTACTATTTATGTTTGCCTATTTTCATCAAATTTGTTTACTAGTCCTAAACCTGGCATCTTTCACAACTCCTTAAGCATTTAGCAAAAATGTTAATTAGCCTGATTCACCACCTTTATGATTTCAGTATTCATTTTAGGTTTAGTCACCTCATGATTCATGATAAAATTGGTGACCAGGAGACAGGATCTAGTGTGCCAGGTAGAAGGGAGTGTTAATGAAGCATGGCTGAATTTCATGTTTCTAATGACACTGTCTCTTGGTCAAGCATTTTCTTAGAATGCCATTGCATTCAGTGCACAAACTTATGTAGACTCCAAATTAATGTGGAGATTTACTCAAGTCTTGCATTGATTTTCTTTCCCATGATGTAGGCCTCATGAATAAGTAACTTGAGTGTTTTTAAGGTTTCAGCAAGTTCTGGCCCAAAAATTGATAATTGAAGAGTGAAACTGATGTTGATCTTTAACTTATTTCATTTATATTTCAGGAAGAAAAGGGTACAGGACCAAGAAGAGCGAAGAAAAGAGGTTGAAGATCCACCAGATGAATTGGAAAGGAAGTGCCAAATTTTGGCTGATGCTATTCAATCAGCCAGTCACTTGATCGTTTACACTGGTGCTGGAGTAAGCACAGCAGCTAACATCCCTGATTATCGTGGTCCAAACGGGGTATGGACCAACCTTCAAAAAGGAAAACAGATGCTGTAAGTGTTCTTCCTCTACTGTAGAACTGTATCAATTGATGGAGGATTTAGACTTGAAGCTTCCACAAAGTACTGTTCGTGTATTGTTTTTTTGCTGTTCCAGACTCAGTGATCCTATTGAAGCTTGCCCCACCTATACTCATATGGCATTGACTCAGCTCTACAAAGAAGGAATTGTTAAGCATGTCCTCTCTCAGAACTGTGATGGGCTTCATTTACGGAGTGGACTACCTCGATCAGCCTTATCTGAGATCCATGGAAACATGTTTATTGAAGTGAGTGTTTTTTTTAATATTATTTGTAGGTTGGTTGCATTAGTGCCTCCAAGGCCTACACCTAAAATTCTGGTGCATGAAAGATGTGGATTGAATATATGTCCTTTTCTGTTTGTTGAAAAGGTTTGCAGGAGATGCAGTCCCTTAAGACTATATGTGAGGCTGTTTGATGTCACTGAGCGAACCTCTCGCAACCGACACAAAACAGGGCGAATTTGTTATGTGTGTGGAGGGCATCTGGAAGATACCATTGTCCACTTTGGTGAGAAAGGTCGTCTGAGGTGGCCCCTAAATTGGGAAGGTGTGAAGGAGGCTGTGGATAAATGTGATATGATATTGTGCTTGGGAAGTAGTTGCAAGGTAGATTTCTGAACTTCTTCTCTGTCTTTTACCAAGCTTGAGGCATACAAGTAATGTGACGTTCCTCTTGTAATTGCAGGTCTTACGACATTATCCTGGAATTTGGGGATCACATCGCCCAGCAAAACAGCGTCCCAAATTGTACATTGTGAATTTGCAGTGGACGCCTAAAGATCTTTCTGCTACTCTCAAAATCAATGGTGAGTTTTTAAATTGTGCATGATTTCATTGTATGGTATCTAGGATTAAATCCTAGACATTACCCTCCGCAATGCATTATTTGTGATTTTTCACACATATTTGTGATTCAGATAAAACTATATAAAGTGGGAAGAGACTTGGGATGGGTTTTTATAGAAACAAGCTTCACAGGTGGCCCATGTGTTGTGTAGTAGCTGGCTCTCAATAGTGGTTGCCTATATTGGACTGACAATTGAATAGATGCAAAAGTAATTTTAGTATTGGGAGTTTCAGATTATAGCTAGGCCTTCATAACTGGGCAGGCCATGTAATTTCAGAATATTTCTTGGTGCCTGGTTTAGAAATAAAAAAGAAGAAGCTGCTTGTTGAGTATAGGGTTTTTTTTTTCTTTGTAAATCTTGAAACACCAAAGACTAACCTAGAACTGCCAAGACAATCCCACAGTTTTCAACTATGTTGTGGTATGGAGTGACTAGGCTGTGGAGCATAGGAAAGGTATTGCACAAGCATGAAACTCTTTGCTGATCCCTCACAGGAACCCACCTCTGGATGCTTTTGCACCCTATTTGTCATGTTGCTCATGAAATTTAATTTTGTTCAAATGTTTTTAAGGCAATAGTATCTGACATGTGATCGAGGAGATAGACAATGATGGATGCAGAATGAATCCTCAATGAAAGGAACTCTGCCTGTGAGGTTTTTTTTTCTCAGAGTGCTTTAATTTTGTGAGAAAGGGTGTGGTTTTTTGTTGTTCTCAGTGAAAGGGAGCATGCATTTTTATTTTTCAAGAGTTGCCTTGTGAGAGAAGAAAAGTCTCTCAGTGGATTTTTGTATTAAATGCCTTTGCTGTAGGTCTGGATTAATGGGAGTTTTGGTTTCAGATGAACTCTTAGAGGAGTAAGTTTTCTGGGTAGGTGCCTGGGTTTTAGATGGTAATATGTGTTTATGAACATCAACTTACTAAGGGTAAAATTTTCATATGGACTCTGAGGTTTATTCTGGGACTGTTTATTTTGTCACTGAGGAATGGGACAGAATCTTTGTATACAGATGAGTAGAAGTTGACTAGGGAGAGATACAAATAGCAAAAGAAGTGGGAGCAGGCCAGGGATAGCTTTGGAGTGCAGAGTAGCAAAAATAGGGTGCATGTACTTTGCATGGTTTGAACTACTTAGTTGTGTACTGTTGCATGCAATATAAAAAAAATGTTTTGGTTCTTTGGTGGTGATCTTTTACTTCATTCCAATGTTATAGGGAGATGTGATCAGGTAATGAGTCGTGTAATGGAAATTCTGAGGAAAGCAGTCCCCGAGTACAAACTGAGTGGTGATCCCATCTTCTATGTTGCTACTCCTCTTCATCCTGCTGAGATCAACACAACAACCAAACTCTCACTCCAAGCACCCAAGCAAGAATCTCCAGAGATTCCTTGTCTTGACTATAAACCACAGGACTCCTCAAGATTCAAGTTTCTTCCATCTGACCACCACCCTTACAAAGATGCCAAAGAAGAAGACTGTGATATGAATGATTCTGAAGATGTTCCTGAGAGCTCAAGTGGACCTGGTTGGTTAAGCACAGCTATGAAACGCTCAAGTAGAAGAGTGCAGGGCAAGAAAGCTTCATGAAAATTACTGTGCTCCATCCATGTTGCATTTCTGTGTGCTCCTCATGTTGAGTATTCTTCCAGCAATTAGGCATGTAATTTTGCCCCTGGAAACCCTTGAATCTCCCCTCATTGATGTACAAAGTGTTAGGAAAGTTACTCCCTACTTTTAAATGCAATAACTTCTGTAGTTTCTGGACTAGAATAATGGTTTTTGTGCCAAAAGAAGCAGAATTCAATAAGGTATTATGATTATATTGATTTGTTTGTTCATGATAACCCCTCTATGGCACCAAAATCTAATCTTTTACACCCATGTGCTAATAGCTCTATAATATGAGGTGTGGAGGTCCAGTGTCCAAATCTGCATGGAAGCCATTCTCCTTCCTCCACCACCTTTGGATCAGGATAGGGGACCTCCACCCCTCATACTGTGCCACTATTTGATCACAGTGCTGAAGGTTTGATTTTGGCATCACATAGGGTTTCCATTATCAAGCAATTCAATGAAACCATAAAACCTTATTGAATTCTGCTTCTTTTAGAACTAGAGCCATTGTTCTAGTTCAAAATTTACATAAGTTATTATTATTTAAAATAGGGAGGAACTTTCCAAGCACCCTGTAGTTGTCAGAATAGACCTTGAAACCATATTGCTTGTTTTGATGCAAAATCTGAAGTGTCTACTCTCACCGAGCTCAGTTCACTGGAAACCAGAAACACCCATTCATTGGCTGTAACTTCGTTTAGAAGTTCCTATGTCACAATATAGACATGGAAATGTAGATGCAAATGCAATGCATGCAAACTTAGCTATGGTTTGACTTTAAGAACTATTTGTAAATCTTGGCATTAGACCCTTTCAGGCTTGCCTGAAAGCACAAATTGGGTTTAAGCGGAAGAGAGAACATTATTAGGATGATACCTTTGTCTTTTCAGTGGGTCTGGCACAATTTATGGATAACCAGAGGAACAGTTGCATCATTGAACTTCTAATATTAATGAAATAATATTTCCAATGTGCTATTTTAAGGTTTGAAGCAAGCATGGAACCTTTTAGTACAGGGACAGCATGCCTCAGAGGCTGACTTGGGTGAAATTGCTTTGAACTGTCTTAGGACAACTAGAAACAACTCAGAAGAACCATGAAACCATAATAAACCATTGTAAGTGGTTAATTTTGTTTGAGAGGAGGAAGTTGATTTCATCCCCATATGACATGACTGCTTCAATGTGCTATGCTTGAAACCCAATGGCATCATCCTTGAACCCATTTCCCTGTGTTGGGTTCCCACTGGAGGAGTGGATTAATCTGGAGAATCTTGTTAACTTCTTTTATCTACCTGTGAATTTTCCAGATGCTAAGGAGATGGGAGCATTCTTCTAGATTTCTTTCCTTTGTTCTCTTTTCCAATGCATAAGACCACCTCTGCTGGACATTTCTTGAGATTCATTTTTAATGCACTTGATGTAGATTGTGCTTTATCATTGATTTATATCAATGCCAATAGTATTTTCTTGTGCATTGAACACTGCTGGTCCAGACACTTCTAGCATAAATTGAACTTGGAGAATAGCATTGCTAAAGTTCAATGTTCCAGCTTCTGCCATGATTCCTACCTTGAGATGTGAAATGCTTTTTGTATAAATGTCAGTACTGTGCTGCTGATATCTTTTTGTCTCTGAAATGATATTTGGTTGGGAATGAGAAATTTAAATTGTGGTTGTTGGATTCTCCAAATATCCATTTAAAGGACTTGGGAGAAACTTGATTTTGGCAGCTGTTTTGTCCAGTTTTGCTCAAAAAATGTTTAGAAACTTGTCATGGTACATTCCATTCTGCTCAGGTTTCATAGCAATAAATGTCCTTAATTTTCTTGCTGCTTGTTTATTTTCTGACTCTATTTCTTTATTTTTTTTTTAATGTATCATGTCTTTCATAATCATGGCTGCTGCAGGTGTTCCTGCATGCTTCTTGGGATGTTGCATACCCCAAGGATGACAAATAAAGCATTATTTTTGCTTCAACCAAAGATCTCCATGCCAAGGTTGACTTTGTTGAATGCACTATAAAAGTTGCTTTCCTTTTCCAGGCTATTTCTTGAACTGAAAGTATTTGATGTGAGGAAGCATGGCAGCAAAGTTTACTCCACCAGTGATCCAGGATAATCCAAATGGCTGGGGGCCTCGAGTTGGAGCTGTTCCTGACAAATTTAAGGACATGCCCTATCAGCCATTCTCAAAGGGAGACCGCCTTGGCAAGGTAATTTATAAAGTTCATGAAAGTTTGCTGTATTTATTATTATGTCTTCAGCAAGTATCTGCCACTCCTTTTTTTTCATAGGTCTCTGACTGGTATGGTGCCACGTATCAGGACCGGAAGTATGCTAGTAAGTCACATGGGCTTACATTTTGTCTGATTTTGATGGCTTTTTTCAAGACACCATGGTTGATGAGGTGTTCAAGGTCCTATTAATAGGACATGGAAGCATGTTCTTCTGACTCTTGCAGACCTGGCAGAAACTTTTGAGTAGATTCTGAGCTTGACTGTCTATGAATTGGGCACTCACCATCCTTGTGCTTATTCAATAAGGAATGACTTAATAATTTTATTTTATCCTCATTTTCATAGGAATGCATGCAGCTTCATTTCATGGGGGTAAAACCCCTGTGTGTAGTTCTTTAAACAGTCTACTAAGACTTGAATAACATTAACATGATGACTTATTTGAAATGAATTTCATGTTAAAGTAACGGAGAATCACTCTGCGATCATTATGAGCCTATGAAAATTCAAAAATAAAAGTACACTTTTGTGTTCTCATTGAGGTGCTACTGAAAGCTTTCATTGAATGAGTCCTGCTATTAGCATCTTACTGGAAGGACTTCATTCATTCAGTGGCATCCTTTTGCAGGGGGAAATTCCATTTGGATTTCCAGTTGTCCTAGTAGAATGGTGTCACACTGCAAGATGGGAGTCATGGATATTATATAATTAATAGAAATAGAAAGCAATCTGTCATTGTTTCTGTTTCATTTCTTCCTTTTTTTAAATAAGTAATATTATACTAACTGAAAGGAGTTCTTGAAATTTTTTATCCACAGATAAATACCAGAGCTCATTTGGGGCTGGCAGTCAGTATGCATACTACCATGAGGAGGATGAAAGTTCTTTCCAATTGGTGGACACTACCCGTGTCCAGAAGCCGTTGTACCAACGTGGGCGTTACATGAGAGGTCGGGGAGGCCGTAATCAACGTGGGCAACAAAGGCAGCAGCAGTCGCAAGTCCTAGGCAGAGGCTTCAGGTCCAAGGACAAGTTAGTTACTGAATTATTCCAACTCAACCAGTTTAGAAATGGATGCTGTGAACTGTGGCCCATTCTTCCTAAAGTAGGGACAGAGCTCGCATTCAGCGCAGGCTACAGAAGCAGTTTGGGAATCGTCAGCGCTATGATCAGCAAAATCGTCAACCAGTGAAGATGAGGGAGTCAAGTGTGACTGTGAAACCAGATTGGAAGGTAATAGAGGAGATGGATTTCCCTCGCTTGTCGAAGCTCTCCCTACCGAATGTGGAAGATGGAATTGATTTGTGAGTGCTCACTGCTATATTGGGTGGTTTCATCCTGGTTCCTGGTTTTATCAATACAAGGTGCATTGAGAGTTTCATCTGCATGATCTCTTTTGAAACAGGAAGAAATGTGGGAGCCTTGAGTATTATGATCGCTATTATGACCGTGTGAATACAAAGACTGAGAAGCCACTTCAGAGAATTGACCGCATCTTCCACAAAGTCACCACCACTGATGATCCCATCATACGTCAGGTGATTGATGTTCCACTTCTGAGTCTGATATTTGTGTAATTTTCAACTGTGGTAATATATGGTCATTCTGTTACAGCTGGCCAAGGAGAATGCTGGGCAGGTGTTTGCAACTGATGCCATTCTTGCTGCCATCATGTGCTGCACTCGTTCTGTGTATTCATGGGATGTTGTCATCCAGAAGATTGGCAATAAGCTTTTCTTGGACAAACGAGATGATTCTGAGTTTGGTGAGCATTACATCTCATGTTATAGAGCATGTCTTTGGCCTGGGCTGTCAGCCTCTACATCAGGGTTTCCCAACATTTTTCATATGCAACCCCAAAAATCACTTTCATACTATTCATGGCCACAAGCACTGGCTGAAGTTAGACAGGCTCCCCCGCTTATGTGCTAAAATCGCAAAGAAAAACATGACTTTGCATTTAGTTCCCAGTACATGACCCCAAACATGATCTTTGCGCCCCCAAATGGGGTCATGACCCCTGGGTTGGGAAGCCCTGCTCTACATCATTTCTAATATGAACTCTGATCTTTGTGAGAGAGAACCTGGAATGTTGACATGTTTTTTTATTCATATTTTCAAAATATATGTAGCAACTACTGGGAGGTATGTAGCAGTCTTTTTTTGGTGATGACAGCCTGCAATGTTTGGCTGTCCAGATCACAGAATTCTCTTTCCACCTAAAGTTAAAGTTTAACCTCTTTAAGACTGGGTGGAATCAGGCCTATTATTTGACCTCTCCATCTACATTGATATTTGAACTACTGACAATAAGCAGGTGGAGGAAATAGAATGCATGCTCCTTTGTATCTGTCATATAGTATCTGCTGGACTGTTATGTTTTGTGATTTAGTGTACACTTGTGATTACCTATGTTCTCATGCCCCCCAGTCATCACTGCTCCATAGTTTATATTCGCTCTGCAGTTTTTGGTTTGTTCTCAGTTTTCACAATGACATTCACATGAACAGGTATGAATGTGTACTCCATGAAATGTCATAGGTATATAGCAATAAAAAAAGAGAAGCATATCAGTCATTAAAAAATACCATCTGATTTTGCTGTTGAAGTTTGATGCTGGTTTGTTTTGACTTAGATCGAAAAATTCCCATACCAACCTTATTGGTATCAATTCAGTTAGGGTCCAGGGACATACCTTTCTCAAGTCAACAAGGCATGATACCAACTTCCAGGACAAAAGACATGAAGAGATATTAGTGAAGATAGTGCCAAACAGAAGTTTGGAAGGAGAAAAAATAAGAAAATAAAGGTTGGGTCACATCAAGAGGAAATTTGATGTGGTAAATGAAGGAAGAGTTAGTGTTGGGCAAAAGAACTGGCATATTAGTACAGAGGCTTCCTTCCTGCTTTGTCACTTCTGACTTCTTTGTTACTTTTCTGTGCAATCATTTTGTTGGCTTACACTTCTGAAGATTGTTTCTCTTGATCTCTCTGGTATATTGCAACTGACTGGAATACTCATTACTTCCCATAGATCTGCTGACAGTCAGTGAGTCATCTAATGAACCACCTCAGGATGAAGGCGCTAGCATCAATAGCCCTCGTAGTTTGGCTCTAGAGGCTTTGTTTATCAATCATAACTTCTCTCAGCAAGTTCTCCGCATGGTTTGTTTTGTCTACTATGTCTGCTTTTCCTGCTTCTCATGCATCCCATGGTGAATTGGCAAAATACATGCTTTTATAGGGGGAGGAGACATGCAAGTTTGAAGGAGATAATCCATTTGTCTCAAACGAGGAAGAAGGTGAAGTTGCATCTGTTGGCTATAGGTATAGAAAGTGGGACCTTGGTAATGACATCACTCTGGTGGCTCGATGTGAACATGATGCTGTCACTGTGGGACCAAATCAAGAGATTCAGTTCATCAATGTCAAGGCTCTCAATGAATGGGATCCAAGAGTGAGTTTTGCTTCTTAAGTTGGAACTGAATCTTAATTTTTCTCTCCAGCACTTTATTCTCATTACAGTTTTCTGGAGGTATTGAATGGCGTCAGAAACTTGACACTCAGAGAGGAGCTGTGCTGGCCAATGAACTGAAAAATAACTCTTCCAAGCTGGCAAAATGGACAGTCCAGTCCATTCTTGCTGGTTCTGACCAAATCAAGTTTGGGTATGTATGCATTGCTGAAGATGTAAAGATGCACAGATGGATCAAAAGTATGAAAGTGGTTTTTCTTTAGGTATGTGTCTCGTGTTCATGTGAGGGATTCCACACGGCATGTCATCCTAGGAACCCAGCAGTTCAAACCAATGGAATTTGCAAATCAAATAAATTTGAGCATGGGGAATGCTTGGGGCATTCTTCGCTGCATTGTGGACCTTTGCCTCAAGTTGGAAGATGGAAAATATCTCATTGTGAAGGATCCCAACAAGGTAAGTGAATTAATTTGATGCTTCTGGGAATGCTTTGGGATAGTATCTGACTTCAGAAAGCTAAGAAAAGTTATTTTTCTCTTTCATCTATTTAGCCAATGGTTCGACTCTATGACATCCCAGACAACACCTTTGAATCAGAAGAGGAGGGATCTTCAGATGAAGAGGGTAAGTAATATTGCTGATAATGTTTTCTTCAAGTATGTATGACTTGAAGTCATAGTTTGTAGCTTCCACCTGATTATGAGGTGCACTTGGTCTTTTATTTGCTTCTTTTGCAGAGAATGAGGAGCAAAAGTGATAAAGCCAGCATTTGCTAAAGTTCCTCAATGATTTCTGAAAACCAGATCATTATGGTGTTGGAAAATGAAGTTATTTCGAGAATTTTTGTCTTGAATTGACTTTTTATTTTAGACCTTTGTTTATTTGCACTGTCTACAGACATGGAACTCCAAGTCCAGCAAACTGCTTGGGGTGTTGGGTTCCACTATATTTGGAATGGTTTTGCATGTGGTTATGTAAACTGGCTGCAGTTCACTCATTCTGTTTTTGCCTCTTTTTCTCATGATATTTTTTGTGAACTACCCAAAGATTGTGAAGGAGTTCATATGAGTTTTGCAGCACAAAGGTAGCAATGATGCGTGTCAGGGCCTTGTCAATGACCCAAAGGCTGTGGACCTATCAGGTAATGAGACATTTGAAGAAGCAAGTGACCAAATTTGATCCTGCCTCAACATCCAGCTCCTTGCTCATGAGTCAGTCAAGGAACTTCACTTCATCACTGTATGCACTTGAAAACTTTGACTTTAATTGATACATGGATGCTTTTTGATCAAGTATATGCATGGTGAATTTTTAAAATCTTATGCTAGGTCCTGTACTCAGATGGTTATGCCTCAACCAGATAATGCTCCTAAGATATATCCTCAAAAGTTGGAGAAACTGGTGAATGACATTTCTCAGTTGACATTGATCGAAGTCAGTGAGCTGAATGAGCTACTAAAGAAACGACTCAATATCCCAGATGCACCCATGATGCCATTTGGCTCCATGATGGCCATGACAGCAGGAGCTCCAAAAGTATGCCTGGGAATCTTTCACTGTTCTAGTTAAGATCTTCTTAGCTGTTTTTTAAATTTTTTATGCTTTTTCACACCCCTTCCAATCCCTAGGAAGAAGAAGAGGAAGCAGAAACCAAGCAACAGCAGACTAACTTTACTCTGAAGCTCACTAAGTTTGATGAAGCAAAGAAGGTGGCACTCATCAAAGAGATTAAAGGCCTTATTGAAGGCATGAATCTTGTTCAAGTAAGTCCACTGTTGGCTAACTGGGACACTTCTTCAGTGACCAGTTTGCAAAGATGCCTACCCCATTTGAGACTGTAACTCTTATTATTACAGGCCAAGAAGTTCGTGGAGGGTGTTCCACAGGTGGTAAGGAAGGACATCCCAAAGGAAGATGCAGAAAAGTTGAAAGATGCATTGGAGAAAGTTGGTGGGATTTGTGAGATTGAATGAAATGCTCTAGGTTTTCTTGCATTCAGTAATACAGTTCTAGGTGCCATTTTTTGGACTTGTGCATTCATCAGTCCTTCATTGGTCAAGGTCCTTTGAATTGGTCATATTAATGGGCATCAACTCTGGCTGATATTTTTGCAATGAGCTTGGCTGTGGATGTTTGTCCATATGCTTGTGTGCCACATCTGAGCCCACATATTGCTCAGCTCTTTTTAATCAATTAACTCTTACTTGCAGATATGTTTTGAGGATGTCCTAAGACTGGATGTATGAGTCAGCTTCTTGACCATTGATTATTACTTGAAGTTTGGTGCAGGGCAGGAGATGTAGGGAATCAAGGGGGGTGCTGCAGTGTTCTTGCCTTGATGTGCAGGATAGGACAGCTCACATTGTTCATTGATGTCTGTGATAGGAGATCATCTCCATTTCCCTTTCTTGCCCTTGTCTTCCTCTCTGTTCTTCCAGGTAAGGATGCTTGATAGACTGGTCATATGTGTGTAATTTCCTCTCCTTGGATATACTTAAGGTAGAATACCCTTGAATTCTTTTTTTTTCCAGTCAATTCTTTTCCTGAAGAATTTATAGGCTGTTTTGCCTATAATGAAACAAAGACAGAACTGCATCACTCTAGTCTGCCAGCAGAGACAGTGGATGACTGCATTGGAGCATGCAAAAGAGATTTTTACAAGTGAGTTCCATATTATTCTACTTTGCCTTGAGTAAGGACTAGTCCAAGCATATGGAGGTGCTATGCAATGCAATTCTTCCTTTTGCAGAGTTGCTGCCCTATTTGATGGTGGTACATGCTTATGTGGCAGCTCATATGGGAGAGAGGGCCCAGCACATTGCAATAAGGTGTGCCGAGGTAATTCCACACAGGTGTGTGGTGACACAAGTGCCATCAGTGTCTTCTTCACTGGTCACAATGGTCTGTGCTCTGAAGTCTGCATTCCTGACCTGCTTAGATGAATTTTTTTTATTTATTTACCCTCTTGATCTTTTAGCACCCGGCCCACCAGCCTCTCTGGACCTGGTGAACAGCACAGGTCTCATGACCATAAGGTGGAGCACCCCACTAGTCACAAATGGAGAGCTGACCCAATACCGAATTTGGTTGATGGCCAGCTTCTCTTATTCTCAAGTGGAAGGCCTGCCTCCAGGCTTGGAGTGGATAGTGACATCTGGGAAAGACCAGAGTCAGTTAGTGGGTGTTAGACCTGGAACACAATACAATGTAAGTGTGGCTGCTTCAAATAAGGCTGGGGAAGGACCTCCCACATCAAAACTCTTCTGGAGCAAACTTGGTGGTAAGGATTCCTGGAATGAAGTATTTTTTTCCTCACCATTAAAAAAATGTGCAAAACTTTCTCTTTGTCTCCAGATCCACCTATCCCTCACACTCCAGAGTTGATTGACATTGGTGATGAGACTTTAACAATGCATTTGGAACCAGTGCTGGCAACCAATGGTCCCATTTCTGCATATCAAGTGATAGCTATTGATGAGAGCTCCCCGGTGGTATTCAATCCCAAAATGTTGACTGACTGGAGTCATGCCAACAGTGAAGGGATCCCATATTACATTGCTGCTGAAATTCCCCCAGAGGTATCTTCTATATCTGAGTTTTGAAATTTGCATATGGATTGGAGAAAAGCAATAATCTCTTTTTGAAGGATCTTCCTATGAAGTTTGTTGTGGGAGATGGAAATATTGTTGGAGGATACCACAATCATCCTCTACCTACTGGGAAGGACTTCCATGTTATCCTTGGTGTGGTGAGCCGTCTGAATGGTGAAACCAAGTCGTCATATGCTCGCCCAGGGCATGAACAGCATTCGCATTTTGATCATACTCGAACTCATGATCACGAAGGTAGTAAGTTGTTGCATTTGCAAGTTGTGGCTTATTCTCTTTGTGAAATTCTAAGTTGAATGAAGTTAATGTTGAGTTTTATTTCTTGCTCAGACCATGCAGGACCAAAGAAGACTGTGTTGAGTGACACAGCCTACATCCTAGTAATTGCTATTGGTGTCTTTGGAGCCTTGCTTGTTGTATCGGTACTGGTGTATGTGGCTCTGAGGTTGCATATTCGGATGAAGAGGCGAAGACAGCGTACAGTAGACCGTCAGGAGCTGGCAGTCCACATGCAGCATAATCATGGCCCAACGGTATGTTCTCTTGAATACATTCTCTCAATCTTGATTTAATAGATTTTAGAACTTGTGTATTTCTTACTCTTGTTCAATATATATAGCCAGAGCCGATGGAGCATGCTTACATTTCCAGTGCATATCTCCCAGAAGATGAAGAGGAACAAGTGAAAGAAGAAATAGGTCGTTTGGAGAGCCGATTCCATCAGGTGTCCCCATCTGCATTTAATGTTCAGCCTGAGGTCTTAGGTCAAGGTAACTTTGGCTTCGTTCGTTTGGGATTCCTCGCCCGGGATGGAAAGGATGGCATTGCTGTTGCTATACACTCCCTAGTTGGTGAGTTTGTGGTCTTTACATGAGTGATACAGTTGAAACTCAGCACAACAGGAACTGATTAGAAAAAAAAAAACAGAATCTTTGTACTGAATCTTGGGCATTTATCAGTCAAATGTCCATTGGTGCTCCCATGTGAAAGATTTGGATATAATGATATTTGAGAATGATAATTCAAGTTGTAACGAAGAAATTCTGTTGTCTTCATTTAGAAAACATTGGATTGTAATGAGGTTTCTCTCCCCACCCTCTAAAGATGGGAATAAAAAAATTCCATGGGACTGAGGAAAAAGGCGTTCTTATCTCTCCAACCACCCTCTGTCTTGCCCCCCACATAGACAAGCATAAACCAGATATATCACAATTATTGTGGTGATTCAACTTAGTATAATTTATTTTTGCTGTTTGTGTGTTTCCATGGGAGAATGAATGATGTTGAATTGGGAATTGGGTTGTTGCAGAGGGGAAGCTGGGGTTGTCTGAACTCTCCAACTACTTGAATGACCTCCAGGTGACACTAACTCTACAGAAAGTGCCATCAGTCCTCCACATCCTTGGCATCTGCCTTGATGGTGGTGAGTCTTGGAGTGTTCTGGTACTTAAGTTGAAGTTTCCTGGTAAGAAATAGGTCATCTGTTCCTGAAATGACTGCCCCATTTTTTAGCATGCTGTAGCAATGGATTTTGTAAAGTAAAGCCTTTACTTTCCAAAATCCATCACGTATTGCAAACTGTCATGGTATCCCCACCAAGAGTGTGTTCCAGCAATGCAAGTGGCTGAAGTTTTGGACCTGCAACATGGTTCTTTTGTGGAATTCTTGTTTGCAAATATGAAAGTTATGGAGTTGCAGTTTACTGAGTTTGTTGTGACTCATCCTTGTTTTGTGACTAGGTGTGGTATGCTATTCATGTAGCTAATGTTTTTTAAACATCCTGTTTCCATGGCAAATCTCTGAGATCATACTTGTAATATCCAGTTTATTTATTCCTTGAGTTTAAAACAAAAAATTGAGCTAACATGTTCTCATGAACACCATTTGCTTTGTGCAAGTTACAGTGACTCTTTCTTCCAGTTGTCTTTAAATTAAAAAAATTCTGGCATATTTTGAGCTCAGACCATTTTCAGACATGTTATGCTTGAATCTGGAGACTAAGAAAGTGGGAACTCAAGGTGTTTCAGAGTAAATTTCATTCTTGAGAAAAGTGAAGCTTCATATTATTGCAAAGCTTTCTTACAATTTCATTTCAGAAACCACCCATATATTATGTGAGAATCATCCCATGACATTGAAGCAATTCTTGTTGGAATCTCGTGCCCTGGTGCATTACCCAGTGTATGCAGAGAAGCAGCGACGCATCTGCACACTCAAGTCTGGTTTTCTTTTCCAAATGGCAGCAGAAATTGCATCTGGCATGACTCATTTAACTCAGTTACAGGTATGGTATCTTCGCTTTTCTCATTAATTATTGTTTATGATTGCACTCTTAGAATTCACCTATACTGAAGTATTGTTGGACTTTTTCCAGTTGAGTCACAAGCGATTGTGTGCTCGCAACATCAGTGTGGTTGAGGGTCGCCTAGTTCGCATTGGTGGCCTTCCCCTCTCTCACTATCATTCCCTGGCTCAGGTAAGAAACTCATTTACTGTAGTTCTCTCACAAGCTGGAGTTGTTTTGTCAAAATTAAAATCAAGATTTCTATGATAGGCTGCTGATTACACTCGATGGAAGTCTCAGGAGAGCCTGGGATCACCACCACACCATTTTCTGGAAAAGAGTGATGTGTGGTCCTTCTCTGTCCTGCTTTGGGAGATTGCAACACTAGGTGCGATTTTGAAAGCTTTGGTTTTTCTCTATAGTGCATACTCTTCAATTTCATGTTGTCTTTTTCCCAGGAGGCACACCATACGCAGATGTGCCATCAAATCAAGTGGGATCTCGAGTGAGCAAAGGAGCAAGACTGGCTCAAGTTCCTGTCATCCAGGATGACCTATATCAATTGATGCTTCAGTGCTGGATGGTTGATCCTGCAGAGCGACCCTCCTTTGCCTACCTTACCCAGCAACTTCAGCAAATGGCTTCTAATACCCTCCTTGTGTGTTCCTTATTGCAATTTTGGCATTCCCTAATTTTTTATCTCTGTAATAATGGATATTTTATATGTCTTGCAGGAACAAATGGACTTCTCTCTCACGCCGGGATTTCGTTATGAACCTTTTCTGCCTGAGCTGGAACACATCACCTCCTAACTCGTGTTGACATGCTCATCACTTCACTCAAATTTTTTTTTGTGGGTTCAGTCCACTTACACTGCCTAGCTCATTCATTTCCATTGTCTGCCTCCACGTCAGTTCAAAGAGTGCTTTGAGTTTTTTTTATATTTTTCCTTCATGGAATCTCAGTAATTCAACATTTTCTAATTGCATATTTTTGACAATGCTTTAATGGGCATTCTGTTAAGCATGTGATATGCATGTTTCAAACTCCAAAGGAGCATTTTTTGAGGACAGAGGTTTTCAGAGATGAGTCAAGCTGAGAACAACCTGTACCTGCAGCTCAAGTCCACCATGTTTTGAGTGTCTGACCAAAACATGACCTAAGACAACAAAAATAAATATTCCCCCCTGGAATGAAATTTGGAAGACCCATAGATTGTAGCCATCTTTGTCCTAACTTTGTCACAAGTTTAGTATGTGATATGCCAGAATGATGAGTATGTACTATGCCTTTTGACGAAGTTTTGGGTTTAAAAATGAATTTAAAAAAACATGAAATAAAATGAGTAAAATATAAACTTGTGTCCAGGTCTGGCCAGAACAGTGTCTTTAACAAGTAGGCCCTAGTCCTACTCATGGACCAGGCTGCCAGCAGGCATTATGGACCGCAGACCAGCCCACTTATTTGATTCTCAGCACCCATGGACAGCAGTCTCACTCTAAGCTGTGAGAAAAGTTGCAAATAATTAATGGGCAAGTGGTACAGTTTGTGGCCTTAAATTCTGGTTCATCACCTGAAGCTTGCAATGCTTGCAGTGGTCAAAGTTCAATGGAAGGGCTTTGTGCAAGGTAGTGGATAGTGTTATATCATCAGCTTCTTTGTTTGAGAAAGTAGCCTTCAAAGTTTGGAATGTCTTTACTGCATATGAAGCAAGGAGGATTTGCACTGTTTTGCAAAGGGTGAATGTTGTAAATCATGGGAATTCTAGTAATAATTTGATTTTGATTTTTAGAAATGTGTGGGCCTACCTTCCACTATCTCACTCTGAGCCCTTCAATTTTCAGCTTGATTGCATCTAAATTGTGCAATATAATTTTTGTAATTCATATAATATCCTCTGGACATTTTGATTAGTAACTTTCAAGTCTTTGTAATCCTGAGGAATCCAAAAAGTCCACAAGTTCACTGCAAATGAAGTCAGGTTCAGTTGCACCCTAATTTGCAAAGTTCATTACATGATTGTCCTTGAGGGTGAAATACAGTTGACACGTTTCTCTGAAATATTGTAACACTTTTCTCTGCAACTATTGGCTTGTCAGCAGTGACAGTGGGCATGTTCAGTTATTGAGCACTGCCTATAGAGGTGGAGTGCATTTTTAACGTAGTTGATGCTCTAGAGCTGCTTATTTGCTATGTCAGTGTCATCAATCATGGGTATCATTTAGTTATTGAAACAACAGGATCATCATGTGATAGCATGAAAGAATCCAACAATTTTCTGAACATGTGTCCAGCAATAACACCTCCATCGGGCATTATTATTTTACATCCCAACATGCTTTTCTGCATTGGCAGAAGTCACCATCATGGAGTGGATGTTACAGCTAGTCTTCTATTTGTCACATTGGTCACTGTGCTGAATGGTGGAGCAGTTCCATGGTTCCATGCCATCACTAGTTACACAGCTCCAGCACTCAGTAACTGACTTGCCCAGGGGAAATTGTCTGATGTAGGGAGCTTCGATCTGAGCTAAAGTCAATTTGGATCTGCATAATTATCAGGGTGTAAAGGCATCTAGAAATCTTTCTCCTAGTTTATATACTACTGTTGCTGTCCTTCCATCACTGTTTTATGGAAAATCTGTCAGTAATTATTTCATTGTCCCCCCCTCATTGTGCAGGTGTGATTCCCATGTGATATGCTGCTCATTACAGTTCTGAAAGCAAGATTTTCTTGAACAACATCTACTGAACCCTGTTATTTGTATTGAAATTTCAAACTTCAGTTTTCACTCATTTTTAGTTGGTGCTGTATGTTGACTGGATTCTTGTGCTACTTTCTTGAGCTTAATTGATTGCTTTTTATTCAAGTTTCAATGTGAAACATCTTCTTTATTCTGTAGTGAATCATGGGGACAGACTTGGTTGTGAAACTCCATGATTACATTTTTGGAGTTATGAGGAATATTTTATGTTATTAGTGTGCATTGTTATAGATCTCGTACCATTGAGTTGGTTCTTCTTAGTTTTGGTTGTTGACTGCATGTGGTTGCAAATGGTCTGCATTTTTTTTATCATGCTAACCTGAAGGTGTGAAGTATTTTGTACTTAAGCTTTATTTTTACATTCCAACATATGATGGCTGTTTGATCTCGAACTAGGGTTTGTATCTCAGTCTCATGATTTCATATGCATGGATCCCTTCTTGTATTTGCCCCCTGTCCTCTACAATGAATCCTCATATTCTCCCAGACTTCAGCCCGTTGTTACCTAAATGATCAGATGTTATTCTTACTTTTCTACATTATTTTTCCATCAGCATTTGTATGTGAAGCAATTCATAGTTCTTCTTCCATAATTAAAGTTTATGCTTATCCTGCAACTACGATTGATTCTTCTATTGGTTGGGCTTTGAAGAACTTCACAAAGAGATTGGCTTGCATCACTGAACCTCATGACCTTTGCCCTTAAAAGTGTCTCTGGTCAAGTTGCTGTTGCCAGCATATTTGGCACAAACAGTGCCGATTGTCCTTTTAAACTGCTTAATGCTTGCCTATAACCAGTGTGAGTTTTAACATAACTGGTCACATATTTTCACATTTTCATGCCTTCATATTGTCATGATTTCATTTATATCCAGGTACTGTAATTTTGCATACTTCTTTCTTGAGCTGTGATTTGGCATGACCAAGTAGCATTGACAATGCCACGAACCAAGCTGACTGCTCGAATGTCAACTGGAGGGATGGCTCGCAGACAAGTTCCTCGAATGAGAACTGGAGGAATTGCTCCAGAACAACCTGAGGTGCTGAGGGATACTGCTAACTCAACTGTGTCCAGTGAAGAAAGTGAAAATGCAGTAGAGCCAAGAAGTGTCAGTGGCCAAAACTCCACCATACTGCAGGTGACACGTGGACGTGGACGCGGACGCTTGCGTGGGCGTGTTCCCATCCCACAGCGCCGCAGTCAACGGCTGGCCACTCGTCGAGGACAGACCAGTGATCCTGCTGAAGATGCCGGTGTGATCGATCTCACCAGCGAATCAGATGAAGATTTTCCAGAGAACGAAGAGAGTGTAATAGTCTTAGCACATCGTCGTGCAAGATCTCCTGCTCGACGACGTGCTCATCCACCTGCTCCTCCGGAAGTTATGATAGTTGATGATCTGCAGGAAGTGGAGCCACCAGGTGCACCAATGAATGACATCCTGAACTCTCCCTCACGCATTCCAATTTGCCCAATCTGCTTGGAGTGTCTCTTACATGGTGACATCATGTCTTCCATCTGTGGGCATGTGTTCTGCCGAAAATGTATCTCAAAGTCTGTAGAGCTCAAGAGTTCCTGCCCAGTCTGTCGGAAGCAAATAGGCCATGCAGATCTCCACCCTATATATCTATTTCCAAAATCTCAAGATGATATTAACAATAACTGAAATATGGCTTCTGCTTCCATTCTCCTCCTGTTCATTCCCTTTCTAAGAGTGTTCAACTTAAACCTTAGCTCAAGCCAGTGCTTGGAGTGATATCTCTGATATCTTCAGAAATTATTCTTCTTACAGTCCAGATGAAGGAGTGATATACATTACTATTTCTCTGCTCTCTTCTGCTACAGTGATGTGATTCAAATAAAATTCATTCAAATCTGCAATGTCAAGTGGTGAATTGCTTGTTGTTTCAAGCTGTGTTCAAAGAGTTTGCTCTCATCATTTATATGGCTTTCAAATGAATTTGAATTAGTTCTTGAGCAGCATTGTGGTGAAATTGTTGGCCTATTGAGTTTTGTGACTTCAGGGCAGATGAAACTTGTGACCATATGGTCCCAGCTCTATTCAAGTGTGGAAACAGGATGACTCTTTCTACCTATTCCAATGTACCAGTTCCCCATCTCAAAGAGTATTTTCCCATTATTATTTCAACAGATACAAAGGAGCCCTCTAAAATGAGGTGGAAGCTAGAAACAGAACCTTGATAAGTTATGTTGTTAGATGAAGCTCATGTTCCATGGAAAGGGAAAATATAATTTTTAATGAAATTTCTTACCACTTCCACAGTTCTTGATCATAGGAAACAGAACTATAGCTGGCACATTTTTTTTATTCAAAAGGTTGAAATCGTTATTTTTCATCTAATATGCAACATTATGATGTTTGCAAAAATACTAGATGAAAAGCCAAGTAAGTAGGGAAGATCATGTTATATGCATGGTGGAAGTGTTAAAATGCAGGACTCTCAATTCATAAATTCATTCCACATTAAGTTTCTTTTTATTAATGTCTTCTTGAGGAAGTGAACAAGGCTAGATATGATCAAGATGGACTCCTATCCTCTGTGGCAGGGGTTCCCAAACCCTGGGTCACAACCCAGGGTTTGGATGTTGAATTTTGAGTCGTGACCAAAAAAGTTTGGGAACCACTGCTCTGTGGTGTTCAACACGTCATGTCCATGTCTCATGTTTCATGTATGGCTTATTGCCATATATTCCAACTCCAGCCATCTTTCAGATGTAATACATTCTCAACATTAAGCTCTAATCTCTAATAAGCGATGCCTATGGCCCAAAACAGAGGCTTGAGCAGAATAGGCAATTTCAAGGTCACTGAAGCAATTGATTTGGAAACCAATTTTATCTCATGCCAAGCTCTTGTATTGTTCATTCCATTAAGTAATGTTTTCATGATTTAAAGAAAAAATAACTATTGATCTTAAAACTAATGTAGTTGTAGAAATTGGTAAGTCCCCCCATCCTTAACAAAAATAGCAAGCCCTGCTCTACTATGATCAAGAAGAATTCACAGGAAGGGAGTGGCTTGGAACTTTTTGATATTGGTGTTGAATGGATTATGTACTTCTGCTCGAAGTGAAATGTGTCACTTTGGCATTCTGAAGCCAAATTGAGCAATATTTAGTGCAAACTCTCTTGAAAAGTCTGACACAGTCCCTTCAAGTCTTGAAGACTTGAAGAGGCTATTTTAGAGTACTGTCAGAAATGGTCTTAAAGGGAACCTGGATAAGACAGAAACCTGTTTAATTTGAAATATTTTTTTGGTCCAATGGGTTTCCAATTTAGACTGGTTTTACTGTGTTTTTATTTGAGTGGAATCTAGAAATTTAGCAGGGATTCTTCTAATTCCACACATGAGCACTAGATTTCTAAGCATTGGGAAACTTAGTTCATTCTGATTTTGTATATTTTCTTGCTTGATGCTCTATTGAGATGTATTTTTTATTTTTAGATCAGACAGCATCTAGAATGAGCAACTCTTATCATTCTATGAAAAGACTCCAGCTTCAAGTAGGATGTCACTTTTTGCAGTGGTTGTCAATGAATGGCCATCATTAACAGAATTTGGGGCATGCAGATTCATGCACATGCATATGTTGTTACCTTGTAGCTGTGTAACACCAGAGAGATAAATCTAAAGTGAGGACATCACAGGGCACAATAATAAACCTGCCTCTTTATATGCTGAAATTCTGTTAAGTGTAAGTAAACCAAGTGAAGCTCTAGGGTTTCACTTTAGCTAGTTACTGCCTGCCAGTCTGTTGTAGTAGAAGTAACAGCATGACCCTAACCAGAAGTTCATTTACCAGAAGTTTATTTGTGAAGAAGTAGTTTGCCAAATTTTATATATTTCAATATCTTTCTCATCAGTAAGCAATGGACCATGCATGATTGCTAATGTATCGGAATGAGAGAAAATAGGGCAAGGACTTCATGGGAAATGCATTTGGAATGGTTCAATTTTTGTAGTGTAGTTATGGTTGGATTCTCATGTCAATCAGTTTTATAACCCACATCAGTGTGTGCAGTTTCTGCACCTGTTGCTGTGTGTGTGAATCAGTAGGGAGGAGTAGGGTCCTGTGCACAGATGAGTCTGGCTTTGCTCCTGTTTTTTCCCCAGCCTGCTTGCATATAACACTTTACACTATTTTTAAATGATACTGCAAGCTATCCATTCAAGGTATCAGCATTATCCACCATCTGATACTAAATGTTAGGCATGTTGTCTGTATTTTCTCATTGCTTCAAGGTTGCAACTTTCAACCAAGAATTATGAAAAAAGAGATATTGCTCTCCTTGAATTTTGGTCTCAGATCTCTAACATGTAATTTCTCGGGAAGGTAATACGTACATGTCATGATGTAAGAGAAATCAGAAGCTAGTTTTCTCTTTTGGAAGTCTTCTAGTTGTAATACTAATCTAGCCCCAGGCATCTTTCTGGTATTGTTCACAGTAGTTCTTCCACTGAAGAACAAGATTGGTCTTGCTGTTAATTTATGGAGTTGCCCAAAAAAGTGATTTAGTTTCTTGTCTTCTATTTAATTTAGTTGAAAACGTTTCAAATTAATTAGAATTCAATGGAGTGATAGAGTTGGAGAAATCTGAGAGATTCGAATTTAAGAAATCTCAGTCCACTTGATCAGCAAAACAATTGTTTCATGTCAATTAATTTGGGTAACAGCTAATAATGATCAATCTTGTAATTGATCCAATGCCTGCTCCAGTCTTGCCTGCTGAGAGAGACCATACCAGGTTGCAGAGAACTGATCCTTCAGTTGCTCAAAATTTCTCAGTTTTCAACAATATCTCTCACTTAAGGCTTCCCAAATGAAGTAAAGTTGGGAACATTCTCTGGAAATAAAAGCATGAGTATGGAGGTGGCTTTTACCTGAAGCCAGTCTTCTTGGAGAAGTTGTCCTCCTCTGACCAGAAATTCAACCATAAAATCAATTGTTCTACTTTAATGGAGTTGCAATTGTGTAGATTTTTCTTTTAATTCTAAACCTGGTGGGCTGCAATATAGCATGTTCTTGTCAGGTCCACTCTACAACAACTCATTCAGCTTGCTTGACAACTGCTAAAAGTCTTTCTTTTATACTATTCTGAAAATGTATAGCCTGAAGTCTTCCATGTTCCATGAAAGACTTCTACAGTGCATCTACATTTACAAGACTACATATATGTCGCACATGGAAGATTAATGGAATTCTTCACCCCATAAAATTTTCATTTATAGCAAAAGCAATCACTTTGTGCATATGACATTACATAGAACTTGTTACAGAAATGCATAACTAGCAAATGCATCCCAGGACCCAAAAATCTCCATATGATAATGTAAAATACCAAAATTAAAGTGCTTGTCTTATGCCTTATTGCCATAAGGCATAAGGCAAGCACTTTAATTTAATAATTGAGCTGTCCCTGATTCATGATCATCTTCTATTCAGTAATAAGATGGAAGATAATTGTAGAAATTTACTGGCTAAGGCAAATTATAAGACTTCCAAAATGTTCAAGACAGTTGATCACCCTTGAACCTTTGAGGATGATAATTGAATGGGCTCAGTTTCTGATATGATTCATCATCATTAATCCCTGTTTCATCATGCTTTTTTTTCTCTCCTCTTTCCCCATGACTAACTAGGAGCTTATGACAAACACATTGGAGTTGCAGACTGCTTGTCAAAGGCCAAAGTTTCAAAGGAAAGGCATAAGCTTTTGTTCAGTTTAATTTGGTGTATTATCTTTATTTTATGTCATGCATGAACTTTTCTGATGTCTTCTTTGTAGGCTCAGGCACGTGACACTTTGAAAGTGAAAAGTCATGTCAAACAAATATAATCTCAAGTGGAATTCACATCATGGAGAAACATTTCAAAGTTTTGAAAGTCTCCGTCAAAGAGAGATGCTTGTGGATGTGACACTGACCTGCAATGGGCAGTTCTTAAAAGCCCATAAGTTAGTTTTATGTGCTGGGAGTGGATATTTTGAGCGAATTCTGCACAAGGATGGACCAGGATCACCCACAATTCATTTCTATGGTGTGGAAATGCACTTGTTGAAGCTTCTAGTGGAATTTATGTACTGTGGGGAAGTTGAAGTTCCTGCTATGGATCTGGAGGTATTCATTGAAATTGCGGAGAACCTGGAAGTGAAGGGACTGAAGGGAGACAGATCAAAGAGCAATACATCACATGGTGTTGGTGGAAGCACCATTCCTGTGTCTGATGTTCAGGATGCTTTGGCACACAAAAGAAGGAGCAGTACCCCAACCTGGCAGGAGTTTGATGAACCTCAGTTCAAATCTGCAAAAGTGCCAAGATCTCAGGGCCCTTTGCTACGAGGCAGGCAGCAGTTAACTGGGCAACATGCTCAGCAACCACAGCCTGTATGTCTATTGTCCTGGGCTTCTTACAATTGATTAGAAGTAGAAGTTATGCAGCAAAAATAAATTCTGAAAATTTTGAGGAAATTTATCATTTATTTTTATCTTCTTTGAAAAGTATTAATTTAAAGCATGGAAGGAGGATCAAATCAAGAAATATTGGATGACTGATGATGTTTGAGGTATGCAAAAACACATTCAATCTGACATGGAAATAATTAAATGTTGCTGTCTTTAGAGTTTAGCTCCCCAATTTCAGAGCATTGGTTAAAAAATTAACAATTTTGTCCATTTTTATGCAGAAAGTATGCAAATGTTGTTTGGAGCATATTGCAAGGAATTATTTCATCTTCTGGGTTTCACCACTTTGCCTTTTCTTTCCTCCCATTTGTTTTCCTGACTGCTAATCTATATCTTCCCTCCCCTCCTCCCCCCTTCCCTTGTACTCTAGTAACATCCCACCTTAATTAATGAAAATACAGTATGCCCCTATATTCATTTTGAGGTATGACTGTGGTATGTTCATGTTTTGAGGTATGTTCATGTGGACATTTGGTATCACCTGTTACCCATGCTTGAGGTACTTGTGGTGATGTTCAGGAATGGTATTTTGCCAAAGTTACTGATTGTTATAGACTTAGAATCTTCTGCCAGTTCTTATATATTATGAAATGGAATAACTATATATCTTTCCTTGCCATTGGTTTTTGTGGGTACCAGGTTTCGAACATTAGCTGATTTCTTAACCCTCTCACTACTGAGGAATTAAATGCCCAGTCAGCCTCTCCTTGTCTAGCATGGCAGTGACAGGAATAAAGTCACAAGGGTCACTCATGTTGATCTGACTGAAGGGCAAAAATGCAATTTATTAATTTGTAGAAAAGCAATAATTTGTTATTTTTTAACACAGAAAAATATTCACCCTACTGCTAGAGAGGTGAGATTTCCATCTTGTTTTTGTGGACTTGAACGTTCCTTTATTTTCATTCTCCCATTAAAAGAAGTCACCTTTAGTCAGATCATTGACAGTTTGTGTCATTTCTAGTTTAGTAGTTTCTAGTCTATCTGATCCAACTCTGCTACACCAATTTGCCTTTAAGGTAGTTCATTAATTTTTTGCTGTCTTCAGCCTGTCAAAATGTTGGAAAGGGATTTGAAGGCTATCAGTGGCAGACCTAGGTGTTCATGGTACTTGTCAGGCATCTCATCAAGATTTCTTAAATCATTCATATGTGATGCCCATTGGAGCGGTGTGCCACTCTCTCACAGAGAGGTTAAGGGGAAGTCATCCTCTCCCCTCAGGGGATAGGATAACAGATGGCATTTAATGACCCCTTTGAGGGTTTAAAGTGTGGCATGGTTGGACTGGATAGGTTATACACAGTAGTTCAATATTGTTTTTAATTTGTGCACAATGGAACTTCTATCCAACTAAAATGTGAACTTTTGGTAAATTAATTGCAGTATAGATTTAATGAAGAAATGTCATAAAGAAATGTTTAAACTTATTTCTAATTACATATTTCAGGTTACTTCCCCATCTCATGTACCCCAGACTCAAGCTGAACCAAGTGCAAGTACATCGACTGATGAAGTGGTGATAAAGGAAGAGGGTGAAGGAGATGAAGTGGTTGATGTTCATGATGTGACAGATCCGGCTTTGGCATCTTCTGTAGGTCCTGCATTAAAGGCTTTTGAAAGTATCCCCAGATTTGATGCTTATGCCCATGCTTTTTCTATATTTATTTTCTAATGCAGATATTTATCCATCACAGGAAGAAGGAGAATGGGATGAGCAATCTCAAATAGCATATGCTGCTGAGGGCATGGAAGGTGAGCCAGAAGCACCATTGAGTATCCCACCTGAAGTTGACCCACAGGTTAGTAACATCCATTCATCCTTGATGGGCTGTGATAATGGGATGATCCTTTCCTGTATTATGAGTCCATTATTTCATGATCTTGCAGGAACTATTCATTTGCTCTCTTTACCACATGTTTCAATTTTTTGTTGAGCCATGCTGGATGATTGTGTGTCATGGTGAATTGGTGCCTTGTTCATAACTTCATTTGTGGATTCCCTTTGTTGGTTTCTTTCTTGAGATGTCAGATTGATGTAGCTCACCTAGGTAGAGTGGATTGATGTTCACCATTTCACAAAGGTGTACAGGTACTAATACATAGGGAGTGTGCACCTATGAAATTTTGAGGATGTGCCTTGCATGTGACTTCTCTGGAACTCAATGCTCATGGTCTAGAGTTAGTTCCTACCTATTGCTGCTGTTCCTAACAGGTTCTGTGGCTTCAAGAACATCAATACCAAACACTTGTCTAACAGCATTTTTAGCTGGATACCTCATGCAGCAATATGATCTTTGCTGAATACTGAGTGCAGCATTTCTGTATCTTACTTAGTATTTGCCCAGTTGTGCTAATTATGGAGAGATGCAATCCCATATTTGAACAATTCTTGACTTGCTTTTATTCCTCACTATAGTTTTTGATCTCTTCACAAAAGTCTCCAGGGAAAGATAGAAAGGGAAAGTTGAACAGTATAATTGTCAATGGCTGTGCAGGTCATGTACTCTTGTTAAGATTTACTGTCAGTGGGGGGAGAGTGTGAGTGTGATCTGTAATGGGTGGGGAAACAGTAGAAGTTGTACTCTCATCACTCACTAACTTATCACCTGACATGAATTAAATAAATTTTTCTCTGATAGTGCTTCATGCTTTCTCACATTCACTGTCTCAACTTCTTTTTATGCCTTTCACAATCCCATCAGTGAGAGGTCATAGTAGTCAGATCCTCAAAATAAAATCATGAATCCTGTGCATGAAGCACAGATAGTAGCACAAAGCAATACTTTTCAGTGATAAAAAAAAATCCAGAAATTGTCTAGCTACAACTATTCGCCTGGAATGGACATTGTGGTGAAAAGTATTACCAGATGGTGACAGGGTGTCCAGTTCATGCAAAGTTGCCATTCCATGGTTCTTATGTTTTTTAATGGGCCTATTTGCTTCCAAAGTATTGATTGCTGATTGATAAGTAATAGATGTTTTGTGAAAGATCCTGGGTGTCTCAGGTTTATGCTATGTATGTTGCAATGGCCATTAAGATTGAGATGGCTGAGATGGAGACAATTTAAAAAATTAGTTTTGCCCATTATAATTAGAGGAGGAAGAAATGCATCTTTTGGTAACTGCACATGAAATTCATATGATGTCATGTGGGAAAAATGTGATCATGATTTCAGTTTTGCCAGTATCCCTTTCTGGTACCTAAAAGTGCAATATGCCATCAACTAAGTAGGAAGTAGGAAGTACATGTTCTATGTCAAGCTAATCCTGCTTTGCATGACCAGTTAAATTCCAATGCCTCAACTGACAGATATTTGCAGAATGTTTGAGTTATCTATTTTACCTCTAGTTCTTAATTCATTGCACTTTTTTCAACTTTGCTTAAATTCAGTAATGCTAAATAAAAATCCTATTTTTGGGATTTTGGCATAGCAAATTCTGTGGTCTTTTACACTTGTCCATTAAGGAGTTTCATTTTTGCTGAATATGGGCATAGCGAGGCTGGTCACTCTTACCCAACATAGCTGGCATCAGGTTAAGTGTGATCATTCCTAGTGTAACCATTTGTCCAGTTTTTATTACTTGTTCGCATGTAGACTGTAGGGCTTCACTTGAAGACTATGAAGGCACTCATTCTGCACTGTAAGAAAAACTGATGGAAGTGCCTGGAGCAAGGAGAAAATACTCTGTATTGATACTATCAGCATGATAAATTGAGTACTAGCATGCCAGTAGTCTTTCTTTTCTACATTTGATTTGTCAGAGGAAGACATATTCATTTCAAGAAGTATTGCCAATGTGTAGAACTGCCTATAAAAGTCATGCTGGATGAATGTAGAATAACCCATAAATCCTATAGGCTGGGGCATCTAACAGCCATCCTATATGATTATCTCCAAGTGGATGTAGTTCATGTATGGCATTTTGAGCATGAAATAATGAGTTAAGAAATGAGAATGTATGACATGTGACAGAATCACAGACAAAGGTACTAGTGGGAGTCAAGAAATTCAGATTCTGAAACATCTGTTTGCTTTTGTTTGCAAGCAATCATTTTAGTGTGGAAGCTCAATTGAAAAAACTAAGGCATAGACATTTTAGGAACTGTGGTTGGGGATCTGCTAATGAAAGAAATCATTCATGCCTATTTTATTTGTGTGTGAAGGTGTGATAGGGCTATTTCCATATGAATTATTATACAGGCAGTGGGCTTTCTAGACTTTCATATAAGATGTATGATATCTTTCCCAAATAGGTAGTCCATGCAGTTGACTTTGAACAAGCACTTAGGTTTCACATTTGAAGAAACCCCGTAAAAACAATATTTTATGGCTCTTGAGAGCATACAGAAATAGAATTCCTTATTAATTGAGGAGAGTTCACATGGAAAATCATTTTCAGAAGGATGTAGTGACTGAAGTGAATCATTTTGATCCCTTTTCTAGACTGTGCAGCACATTCAGGCATTTTTGTGGTGTGGAAGCTCAGCCTCATCTAATGTGAGAATGTTCTTTTGCGGCTTGTGTTCCTACAACACTGTCCGCAAGGATAATGCACTTCGACACACAGCTGGACACATCAAGCCTTTCAAGTGCATTTTTTGCCAAAAGTCCTTTTCTCGGAAGTTTTTACTTCAGTGTCATGAGTTGAAGTTCCATTCTACTTAAGTGTGTGACATTCAGTGGAATGCCAGGTTTGAGATGGAATATCTGGCTTTTAAGAAACTCCTCCTGAACTCACCTTCACTTGCCTATTCTGTGATGATTCTCTCCTCTAGTTTGAGGATACAAGGCCCCTTCATCCTTGCTGTTCATTGATGCCTAATTCTTATAATCAATAAATTTGGTATTTAATTATGAGTTAGTGGTTATTTTTTAGCCTTATCAAGAACCCCTAGGGTAAATTGTAGTATTTACACAAGTCAGATGAAGTTTTTATTATCTTGGAGTCCTATATATCTCATAACTATTTGTGAGCTTCAGCATTCCACATTGATGAAATGCTCATATCAGGATTTAGCACCATTTCAAGTAGAAATACATATGCCTGGTGTTACACATAGCTGTTGAAGCTTTGCTTCATCAGCCAATACTTCTCGCCCCTTTTCAGGTCAATATTTAATATAAGTTTTTTGTAAGGGGGGGGGGGGTGTATTTTCTGTTTAAAGCTGTATTAGGTGTAGTTCGACTGCTTCAGGCAAAACTGTGCACTTATGTCTGATTTGTCCTCATACCACACCAAGGCTTTACCCTTGACTTCACTTTGTTGAAGAATTGTCCTGTTAAAGTGTCCATTGAGGAAGTGTCTTTCGAAGAAATGACATGGAACCCATTCACCATGCTACTCAACTTTATTTTATTTGATTCCATGAGTTCCTATAAGAAGTCATTCAACTGTGTTGATTATGTTCCCAGTATAAAATCAAATCAAATGAAGTTATGCAGGACTTTGGCTACAGGAATTTTCAGTCACTTCCTAAAGTTAAATGTTGCTGGTTTTATGTGTTGATTTGTTTCTTATGATATTGTTAAGTATATTTATTGCATCAAACATTACTCTGGATGTCACATCTGACACTTTTGACAGGTCCAGGTGTTACTTGGGCTCAGAACAATCAGTTTCATCCATGTTTGCTTTAAACTACTTGCACTTATTGAATGTGACAGCCCATATATTTCCTGCCAGTGTCTCATGGTGTTTCCTCTACATCTATTGAAAGTTGGTTGCATGTTTTGTGGGCCACCTTGCTGTTCCTGCAACAAATTTCTTCAAATGAAGAGAACTTTGTTGCAGCAGTTTTCACAAGTATAAATTCTTTTACTTCCTGGCTTATAAGACATGTCTTGACTATGCAAAGTCTTGGTATATTTTTTTAACTTTTGCAATAAATTATCCAACATTCTCCTGTGGGACATACTGTCCTGCTGACAGGAGTTATTTTCATCTCCCCAGAAAACCAACCAACATGAAGATTCCTAATTAAAAGTACTTCTCATTAAAGTAACTATGGGACATTGTTTAATGGAAACAAAGCGTGCAAAACCATTGCTCAATTCAGAGAAACATTGACTACAAATATTCACACAAAAGCACCAAAAGAGATACAACTTCCATTATTTAAGGTGATAGGAGAGGTTATCTTCAGTTGTCCAGTTCCATTTGCAAGGTATGTGGCATTTCTCATCTGCCTCTAAATACTCTTGAAGACAGGAACATGAAGTATGTTCACAGGTATATGTAATCTGGGAAGACTCACTGTACAGGAAGTTTACTTGATTTTGCCAATGTCTGTAGCATGCTAAGCCCATGCTGGATATCACTATTATAAGCACACCACAGAAGGGCACTTTTGCTCCATTTACTTTCAATACTTCCATCTGGAAATCTGTCTTGTTGATGCATTGTGCTGATTTGCATTGCAAAGACAGACAGTTTGCATAGTAATGGAGAATAATTTATCAGATTCTTTCTTTTGTGTCCGATTGTTTTCTTTAATTGTCAGTCGTGAATACTGTTCATTTTTAATTTTGAAGGAAACAGGAACTGTAGAAGAGTTGAATAACTAGTTTTTTTTGTTTTTGTTTTGGTGGATGTGTTCATGTGGGTCCATAATTTAAGGAGTACTTTTTTTCCATCAGTGACCTCAGAATTCATCCTTTTTCCTTCCACCAATTTAAGTTGCAGTTCTTTATGACAAGGACTTTTTGCTAATTCCTCCCTTGTCTGCCTCACTTACATTTCCACAATACTAAAAGAAAAACTAAGCATGGTTTTTCAATAGTTTCTTCATAAGAAGAGAGAGGGAGAGAGATTCAATTGCAATGAATTTAATGTCTTAGCTCTTTGACTAATTAGACTATTAATGTTCTTTGTGGATTTAGCTGATATTTGAATGACTGCCAAGTGTGGTCAACACTGATTAACAGCTTTATCCTAAATCATTGGGAGATTACTTCTGACTTGGGTGAACTTTGCCAGTAGATCCCACAGAACTGAAGCTGCTTATTCAAAGAGGTGCTAGTTTGGGCAGTTCAATAGCCATATCTCAGATATTCTCAGTCTGGCATGTGTTGCACAAAACATGAGCTATTGCATGAGACCAATGAGGTATAGCACCATGTTGCTGGAAGACAAATTAGTTACCAGGGAAAGGCATCAGACTTATGACAGCCAGAAATTAGGCCTTGTAATGAGTCTGTTTTGCTCAAGCAGTTACTGGCTTTATGTAGCTTCAGGAAAACTTCTTGACAAAGTTTGATATCACTCTCAAAAGCCTTGGGGTCTGAAAGTGAAAATCATTTGAAAATGGAGCAGTATCTCTCAGCAATATTTGGCTGTGCTAGTGACCAGTGGGGATAACATTTACCAGCTGTTCACATTGCTGAAATACATATTGGAGATTATTTTCACAGCTTTAACAAGGATTTGGTGTCCTTATATCCATTGGCCATCATTCCATCTGAGCTCTCTCCACCTGATAAAAACTGATCGAAGTATGATGATTGTTTCCCCCCCCCCCCCCCCCCCCCCCCCCCCTCCACGCCTCGAGAAATGAAGTATATTTAAAATTTCATGCATTATTCAAATGCCTTTTTTCAATCTGCAGAGAATAGTACAGAAGAAGCATTGAAATTGCAATGACAAAAGGTGCATGGCCAGGATTTGCTTTTCTCTCCTCAATAAAGTCATTTCAGTCAAGCACATGGTAAAGTCCTATGAGAATTTGGAAGTTTTTGGTACATTTCAAGGAAGCAAGCCAGAGCTGAAAAGCAGATTCCTCATTCTGATCCTACTGTAGTTCCATCTCTTGTACTTGTTACTCTGCTTTCTTTGTTTATTCCCTTGAGTGCATCAAGAGAATAAACTGAAGGGAAATGGAAATAGTAGGAATAATGGTGTCACATTTGTCAGAAATTGGGAGTTAGTTTTTTAAAATGAGGTTGCACAATAAATTTTTTAATAATGATAACTCATTTTAAATGTGACTGATTTGGATGAGTTTCTTGTAGCATGTTGAAAGTCCTTTCTATTTCATCAAAATGAAATGCTTGTCTTTATTCTTTCATAGGAGAGGAAGTCACCTGATGAATATGCCTTTGTTCAGTGCAATTTCAATGCTTCTTCTGTACTATTCTCTGCAGATTGAAAAAAGGCATTTGAATAATGCATGAAATTTTAAATATACTTCATTTCTCGAGATCATTGTTTTGTCAATTCGGAAGGACTTGACTCTTCACAAATAAGTGTGAATATATGTTTTCACCTAGTAAATTATATCTTTTACTCCTAACTATGTCTTTTTCATTGAAGTCCTCTCACCCACATGAAAGGATAGTGCTTTTTGTTGGTGTTCTTGTTCTCATCTCTCATGTTCTCCTCCATAAACAAGGGGGAATTCTAAATGAACTTTCAGAAAATTCTCCAGGTTGATACTCATTCATCTGCTATACATTGGGAATAAGCTCATGAAAACCATCTGCATGAGATGAGCAGTACAAAGAATTAATTTAGATGGATGATGAGTTCGAAATGGTCTTGATGATTGGAAAGGAGAGGGCTTGAAAGTTTCCTCTGCTCTACTACCAGAAGGAGCCCTTGTCCATTCTTGATTTCTAACTTCTTTTATGTAATTGCTGATGGAATTGCTTTTTCCCAACAAATTTGAATGAAAATTTCAGAGCCAGTTGAAAATGTACTCTTATATTCACAGTGAAAATTTTATTAAAACATTTCTATTGTGAATGGAGATATTTTTGTTAGAAGTTGCCAGTTTTTGCTTTGCCCTGTATAAGTTTTGTATACCTTTTCTATGTCCAATCTGCTTCAGGTCTTTATCCCAAAGGGTTGCATGGAAGCTCATTATTCTGCTGTGCATCTGAGATATAATGACACTCTTTCCAATTATGCTTACCTTTCTCATCTAATGTTGTGATCAGGGTGTTTATTTGTGAGCTGGGTTCTGTAATAAACAGCATAAAAAACATAAAATTTTATTGTCCAGAAGATCCTGTGCTCATTTTTTCCCTAGTCTGGGGGACTCCAGTTTCTGTTGTTTTGCTTGAAGGTTCAGACACTCAACATAATCAGTTTTCATCTACACCCTGTCCTCCACTCAAGTGTGCCGTAGGTTATAGTAAGCATGTGCATGACAGCTAAGTAAAGCTTACCTCCATTCCCATATTCTTTCCAGACAGTGTCCTATGTTCAGAGCTACATTTGGTGTGGGAGGATGGTATTGTCAAGGACCAAGATCTACTTCTGTCCCATCTGTCCCTACTTGACGGCACGCAAAAGCCATGCGGAAAACCACAGTCGTAAGCACAACAAGGAGAAGCCCTTCCAATGTCCCATCTGCTCCAAGTCCTTTTCTCAAAAGGGCCACTTGAAAACACACTGTGCTACTGTGCATGCCCATTTTGTTGATTGATTGGAGGTGCAAGGGCTGTGATTCCTTCCATGCTTATGATTTCCATTTTTCCTTGCTAAATTTGAGATTGTATTTTAATATATATATATTCTCTGCCATGTCTATTTAAGTTATACAAAAAATGTAATCTGATTTCTACTGCCAAGAAGAGTCTTTATTAATTTATCCCTGAACTGGGAAGATTTAACTGTCAGATTTAATTATGTGAATGTATGGTTACATTTGATAGAATATTTTTCCTACCTGTAACAGAGTTTTTCCATTGAGTCACTGTTAGAAATTCAACTGTTGATGGTAAGCATTAACTTGCCATCCAAATGAGGTTTACCATCCTTGTGATATTGTGTGAGGACTGTCTTGTGTTCAGAGCTAAATTCAGTTTTGGTCAATTAAATGACAGGGACCAAGGTGGACTTCTGTCCCATCTTTCCATATGTGGGGTGACTGATGATGCAATTGAGCTTTCTGTAGTCTGAGAAAAGGCATGTCTGGAGTCCCTTCTGTTATAAGTGCTCCTTACTTGAAAATGCATCGCTGTGACCTTGATAGATTGCTTGCAGTGAAAGACAGCCTGATCATATGTTGAGATTATGCAGGTAGTGGGATCTGTTATACTTATGCTATGTACCACCAGAAATGTCCAAAGATTTCACATTTATCAGAAAGTGCTTATTGAATGTTTCTTCGATATGGAGGATTGTACCACTTCTTAACAATTTTGTTTGCCCTAAGAGGAGATTACTATTTTGATTCCTGACCATCCAAACCCCAATTGCAATGCCCTGCTCCCCACAAAGATCTTGCTGGAAACTTTAATTTTTGGGATTCTAGAATGATGAGCTGATGTTATAGCTAATGAGGTTTCATCTTAGACATGATCTGTCTGCCAGGCAATGCTGAACCTTGTCTCCTTATCCTCTGCAGACTGTGTCCTATGTTCAGAGCTACATATGGTGTGGCAAGCTGAGACCAACCGGAGCCTGGCTCTACTTTTGTCCCGTCTGCCCCTACTTCACGTCCCGCAAGAGGGATGCTGAGAACCATGCGCAAAAGCATGTGAGAGAAAAGCCATTTCATTGTCCCGGTTGCTTCAAGTCTTTCTCCCAGAAGTCTCGATTGAAGAATCACTGCATCTTAGTGCATTCCCGTGATCTCGAGGGATCGCAGTAGCTGGGAATATATATTTGTCAGTGTTGGACATCTGCTGTTTTTTTTCTTGGTTTGTTGGAATCTTTCATTTCCTCAATTTGAAAGACAGACACAGTCCTAGAAGACTTGGAATATCCAGAGGACACAAGTACAATCTCCAGAATCTAACAATTTTCCTTCGTAACACATTTGGGAGTATATTATCTTCCTTGATGATAGCATTCCATTCAATAAATCTCATTTGGACTGAAACACCTGCTTTTCATTGAGATCCTCTTCCTTCTCACAAAAAGTTTTTTTTTTTATGGTAAGCCTTGTAGTGGCCGCTCCCCGGGGGGGTCGCTAACGTAGGGCTTGGGCGAACTACAAGGATGATCGGGATCCGGAGTGCGAGGGTATCAGTACGTTAATCCGGAAAGGTGTAAGGAAGGTTGCGATGTTCGGAGAGGTTCGTAAGAGACCTCTGTGATCGGCAGCAGGAAACCCGTCTAATAATTATCGCTGACTCTAAGGTGTAGTCTCCTTTGAATTACTTAGTACTCCGGGTATATATAAAAAGGTGCGTAATTGGATACTACGCACAGTTTATTATACAATATAAAACAGCAGGGATACGTGAATGAGGTTAGTAGCAAATAACAGCCTCACGCTGATTGGGGGACCTAAGGTTCGTCCTCGTCCTAGTTGTCCGGTGGGGGACCACCGTCACCACGGTTCCTCAATAGTCCGCACTGTCCCGTGCGGCAGCTGTGTGCAGGCTCGGTACGGCTTCACGCGTAGCGTCCATGCGTCCACTCACGGTGGCTCTCGGCGACCTACTGCCGAGAGATTGTTCAGGGAAAGTAGGATGTAGGTTCTTACGTATGCGTATGAGGGAGGAGGGTCTTCCCTCCGTAATCATTACGCCATTCCCTGCGAGGCTTGAGGACGACTCCACACGATAGACCAATTCCTCTAACAAATACCAAAAATACCGATTTCTGTGAAATGAAAGAGGATATATGAGCATTAAGCCAACTGTATTATTTTCTGTCATTATGCAGGTGGACCACTTACCACTTTTCCTTTCGCTCCAACAATTGTACATCTGGGCCAACGGATTTCATTTCCACAAGAACCAGTGGCGCATTTTATGGGGAGGCAGCTACTCCCTCATGGGAATTTTATTTTCCCCTCCCTGATTACCTTCTTTCATCACCCCTCCTAACTGTCCTTGGCAACGTCTTTCTTAGGGTTGCCACCTTTGAAATTACCAAAATGTGGACATATGGTCTGTGGATGTATGGAAATATGGACAAATATATGAAGTATACTTGCATTTGTGGTTCTGCTGCAAATGCTTACAGCCACCTTTGGCCAAAGTACCAATTGATGATATAAGAGTGTGGCATACTACTCTGGCTCGAAGAAAACAGTGCTTTTAGCTGCTGTTAAGTTTTACTAACAAAAAAAAATCTTAAGTTTAACGCATGGATGAAGTAGTGTCCATATTAAGACAAGTTTGCAATATGGACATTGCATCTGAAATATTAACTGTCCATACTAATTATGAACGGGTGGCAACCTTACTCTCTCTGCTATCCTGCCTCTTGGCTCATCGGCAAAAATACGCGACCTACAAGAAGCCAACACCTCATTTTTTCTTTTTTCATTAATCCAGGATCGTTTGCATGATGGCTTTGGAAAACAGTTGTGCACAACGTCATCATGCCTTTCAATTTAATTACTGGCACGAGCTCAATCATGCCAAGGATCAAATTGACTCCACAATGAACTCCAAGGGACAGAAAGTGATTCGGATCGACCAGACGACGATCTCAGGAGTTTTGGCCCTAAACGGCCCGAGGGTCAGGTCGACAAGGCGTTAGGTACAGCCCCTTTTGGACCAATCGCAGCATTTATCCAAATGCCCTGTCGCGCATCGTCTGCTATGAACCACGTGGCCCAAATGCCCGCCCGCGCATCGTCTGCTATGAACCACGTGGGAAGCTGCACGTGGCGGGTTTTTGAACCACGTGACAGGCTACACGTGGCGGGATGTTGGTTACGTACGGCTTGTGCAGTGAGGATGCCCCACAAGGGTCCAGCACTTATATGTGGCGAGTGCCGAAAGTCTCTTTCCAGCCGTGCGAAACTGCGGCAGCATATTATCGACGTGCACGGTAAACCATTGGAAGAAGAACACTTCAATTTCTCTTCTAAGGAAGGTAAGAATACCGTTTTTCTAGTGTTGATGGAAACCACGAGATTAAGCCTAACAGTCTTTTCTGGTCTATATAAGTCAATTCCTTGCAAGGCCTATGGCCAGGACGGTTATCATATGATAGATGTCACCCAAGAGTGATTTCAATCTGGAGATATTTTATTGAAACTAATTAACATATCCTTACGGGTCCTTCTTGGCCTGAATTTACCAAAGCATTTCCAGGATCAAGTCTGCTCTGTTGAGCAGACTTGATCCTGGAAATGCTTTGGTGATGCACAGTACTATCATCTATAGTCATGTGATAGTCAGGTCACACTTCTGAGTTCATGTTGGACTATGCTAGGCCTAGCACAAGCCTTTGTTAGAGGACTAGTCATTCTTTGATTGGTCTATGGGACCCAATACAATTGTTCTTCTGTATAGTATTTCATTATCTATATTGGCCATTCTTGTAGATTTCTTGACCTGGCTTGCAAAGGAGGAAAAGAAGGAAGGAGGTGAATGCCGATATGTGTTACATCGCCAAGGCAAACAGACTCAGAAAGGCCTGAAGACAACATATGAGTGCATTCGCAGCGGACATTATCGTTCTCGGAGTAAAGGGATTCGTGCACTGAAGTCACAAGGTCTGTAGTTCTGTCTGTGGATTCCATCACTTAGAGCAAAGCACAAGAGAGCAAACACAGGAGGCTGTATGTTTAAAAGCTGGTTTTATATGTCAGGGTCAACGGAGAATTAGGGTTCTGATTTCACCAGTTGCCTCATTTTGACCATATGTCTTGGTACATATCCTTAAGTTGGCTTAATACAGCTCCCAAGTGTAAGATTTACCTTGAATGGTCTCCTCATGAGTTGAATATAACAAGAAGTAAGGAATCAACTTCAACAATTACTGAGATGGGATTTCTCTTTCTAGCTCAAGTTCCAACAAGTTTAAACTGCACAATCAAACCATTGTCAGAGGCTATGAATTATTTTGATCACAAGGAACACATCATGTCTACTCAGTCAGCAAGTTCTTAATGAATTTTTGTAAATGTTAGGCATGATTACCAAGCTCAATATCAAGAAAATGCTTTATGCATGTTTGAGAGAGATATGATTAAAAGTTTTAGAAAAAAAAATCTCAACTACAAAGGAATAGGGTCTCTTCAGAATGCTACATCTCCTGAATGTACGATCCACTTATACTGATTTTCAATTATGCTATGAAATGGGGGGAAGGAGATTCAGAATTGATATTTAGATTAAATTTAAAAATGTGATTTTTTATGATAAAACTTGCTTGTAATTAATTGAATCTATGAGGTTTGGAAGATTTTGGCATTTAGGTCCTTCTGTGTTTCATCAAAGGATGTTCATTAAGGGCTCATTTCATATTTGTCTGAAGAGTCTCTTCTAGGAAGTTATCTTCACTATGAACTTCATTGCACACATCTGGTTGTTCAAATTTTGAAATACTTTGAATAACATGAAATTCAGATAACTTTTAGCCAGTGGTCTACCTTATAATGCTGGATTACTAGACTGCTCATGTCCAGCAATAAATGTGCATGTGAAGTAATGATTGGCTTCATCTTCCTTTCATGATCAGCATTGGCATAAATTATTACTGGTGGCACATTTCATTATTCATAACTTGTAAATGAGAAGAATATGTCTCAGTAAATCAGGCTGGAAGCAATGACTAGTTGAACCTGGAATGATAGACAGGGCTTAAAGGTGAGACCTATGTTATGTGTTCATCTGAGACTCCTAACTGCCACTCTAATATTTATGGCTGGGTGATATGGGTTTGAGAAATGTTATCAGGTGAATGTAAAGCAATATCATGGTTTCTCCCACAATCATAATAATATATATACTGATGTGGACCTCATGATTTTGGAAAAGAGATGTAGAAACCAAAGAAAATGGCTACATTTTTATTTCCTAATTTAGGTTCCTGCAAAACAGGATATCATTGTCCGGCTTCGATTGATGTCACTGAAAATGCAGACAGTGGAGTGTCTGTCACTTATTACAAGACACACCACATGCATGACCATCGTCTTGGTCATGTGAACTTATCCTTGGAAGACAGGCAAGCAGTTGCAGGTAAACTCCTTGGAAATTATCTGTCAATAGAGAAGAGGGGGGAGGATTAATCTTCCAGTTCTCTTGTTGAAATGTGAACTATGATTAATTATTAACTGCCTGAAAGCCAATTAAATTTGGCATTCAGACAGAAGATTGAGAAGAGCATTTAGGATAAGTCATAGGCTTCCATGGCAAGTGATGGCAGAGATACATTGGTCTAAATTCTGGCCCTGGAGATAACATGGCTCCCTGAATCCACATGCTAACATTCAATTTCACCTTGAGAATTTAAAAAAATTGGCTTATATGGGAGAAGAAGGAAAACCAAGGAAACAAGCTAATCATATTGATTGACAATTCTCTAACAATGAATACATTTGCATGTTTTCTTATTTTTCTCAAATTATTTCATTAGCCTTGACTTAAGTTAGCAACAAACCCTCCAGTACAAAAAATAAGATAGAATCTGGGGTTGAGGTGATATTTTTACCTGTAGGCTATTCTTAAAACAAGCTGACTGCTTGCTGAATTGAATTAAATTCTGAGATGGCCTATTACAGATTGCTATCTCACTCAAACCTGAATTATCCATATCTAGTGTCAATGAGCATGACATGACTTAGTCACAGACAATGAAAAGAAACCTGACATGCCTCTCAATACCTTGTAACTATCCAATGTCAATTGCATATAATTCAATTTTGCATTTACAAAGCTGTGTTTCTCCCATAGAAAATGACAGGGAATTTCTTAAAGCCACCTTATAAATAAAAGGTTCAAGTCTGAACATCATCTTCCAACCCTTGCCACCAAATGTTGATATACTCTAAGGAATTTCTTTTCTGCATTTTATTTCCTTTGCAGGCAAAAAGTACAACATTCCTTTAGGATCTTTCAGTGACTAAGAATAT